TTTGAGATGGAATCTACCTCTGGTGAAGACGCTGTGAACATTGTTGAAAGGACAACAAAAGATTTAGGATACAACATAAACTAAGTTGATAAAGGAGTGGCAGGATTTGAGAAAATTGACACCAATTTGAAATAAGTTCTACTGTGCATAAAAGGCTATCAAACAGCATCACATGCTACAGAGAAATCCTTCATAAAAGGAAGAATCAATTGATGAAGCAAACTTGTCTTATTTTAAGAAATTGCCACAACCACTCCAACCTTCAGCAACCACCATCTTAATTAGTGAGCACCCATCAACATGGAGGTGAGCCATTCCACCAACAAAACGATTATGACTCACTGAGGCTCAGATGGCTGTCATCATTTTTTTTTTTTTGATCTGTGGTTTTCTTTTTAATTATCTTAAGTCTTATGATCACACATCATTTTTAGATTTCTGTATATCTCCTCTGCTTTAGTCCTTTTAAGTTGGCAAAAGCACCATTCCCAATCACAAATACACAGCAGTTGTACAGTTTTTTTTTCTGAATGGCTGTTTAAAGACAATCCTAAATTATAACTTAGTTTGACTTAGATAGTAAAGAATCCGAGAGGGAAGTTTAATTGGCAACTATTTTAAAAGCATGTGACCTTACAGATCATCTATAAAATGTGTGATGTGTTAAATAATTTTTGATATTACACATAAACCACACAAAATGCCTTTCAATAAGTAAAAGGAACCATTTTAAATAAGGGAATTCTAATTAGATTGGCATAGTTAAGGCCAAAAATATAAACTAGCTATTGCTACCCATTTATCTTCAACCCTTGCCTTTAAGAGGCAAATGAACACAAAACACAGGTGAATCTTGCTTGGTTCTGAGACAGTAAAGGAATTCCCCCCATATTTAAATATATTCACATAACCAGTTATATAAATCTAAATATAAAACCAATCTCCAGTAAGTTTTAAGATGGCACTCACCATCTCTGCGAAAAATTTAGCATTACTAAGGAAGTCTAATCATATCTTTAGAAGGGGTAAACAGTGATAGAATTTACTAAATTGGAATTACTATTAAAATCCAAAAACTGAACATACTCATTTAACCACAAGCCAGTCAGTTTTAAATCAGGACTGCCCAACAAAATATTCTGTCAGTCATTCATGATGTAAATTCTCATGTATGAGATCTATTAAAGTATGGTACACATAAAAAAGTCATGAGACATTTGTTTTGTAATAAATAAGGCAGTGGCCAATTATTACTCATTAGTAGCTTTTTTGAGATAAGCTATTAAGTCTTCCCTTTCTCCCTTCTTCTTAATGCCGACAAAGATCATTTTTGTTCCAGGGATATACTTCTTGGGATTCTCCAAATATTCCATCAGTGTATCCTCTCCCCAGATGATGCCTTTGTTCTTATTGGCTTCAGTGTAAGTGAATCCAGCGGCCTGACCTGTCTTCCGCCCAAAGAGACCATGGAGATTAGTTCCAGTCTTGTGCTTGCCTCCCTTTTCCACGGTGTGACATTGGGAACACTTCTGAATAAAAATCCTCTTGCCTTTCTCAACATCACCCATATTTAATTCTTTTTCGTCGTTACCGCAACAAGGGTTACCTCTCAGAAGTCGGACGTCCTGCTCTCTGGCTGTCATCATTTTTTAGTGATAACGTGTTATAATTAGGATACGTATATGTGTGAGACATAATGCACACTTAATACACTGCAGTATAGTACGTAATTATTATATGCACAGGGCTGCTAAAACTTTGTGTAATTTGCGTTACTGTGGTGGTTTGGAACCTACCCCACAATATCTCTGAGGTATGCCTGCATATTGATGGTGGGAATGTAAAATTGCACAGTAGCTTTGCGAAAACAGTTTGGCAGTTCTTTAAAAAAGTTCAATATAGAGTTATACCATATGACCCACCAAGACTACTCATTCGTCCCATGATAAGTTCAAGAAAACATATATATATATATTTATACACGTATGTTGTATAGGGCACTTTGGGAGCCAGATGTATGGCTGAGGGCCCCACAGGGTCGTGGGGTCAGCCTTATGCTCTGCTGAGGCGCAGAATCTGAGAAATAAAGAGACAGGACACAGAAGTACAAGAAAAATGCAGCTGGGCTCGGGGGGCCACACCACCTACAAGCGGAGTCAGGCGAGGCCCCGAATGTCCAGAAGCATGAATATTTATTGTGTATAGGTTAGTGGGCAGGGCAGTGAGTGAAATCATCTTTAAGGATAGTGATAGGGTCGTGAGCAATAAAACATGGGGTCCACCCCCATTAGGTCACCTAGGCCAGGAGGTGGACAGTGAGCAGCAAGAGGCCCGTTCCCATGAAGGCAAGGGCCATGTGCAGTAAGGGGTCCACCCCCATGAGGTCACTGAGGCTTGAAGGTGGGTCATGCACAGTGAAGAGGGTGCAGCGTGCAATACTTCTATCTATGGGCAAACTACTTCTAAGAAGATTTATAGGAGGATGGCTTAAGTCACATAGCAGTGACAGAGCTGTCAGAGTTACTGCCGCCTTCTGGCAGCTTCCAATGGGTTCTATGAAAAGATGCTTTTCAAGCAGCACAGTAGCAAGAGCTGATAAAGTTCACAGTCACCAAGGTGGATTGCCATTCTGAGGGCAGCCTTCCACAAGAACTGCAGCAAGGTCCTACAACTCCTTTATCAGGAGGAGTGGCTCTCACCCCAAGCCTGCCATACAGCGAGTATCTTTAGGATACTGAATGCTGCCACCTGGGCCGTTGATTCTTGTCCTGGTATAACTGTTTTTCCCTTAAACCATGCTCTGCACTGTGTCTTCTCTAGGCATTCCTCTGATTATGAGCTGCTTATTCCTTAATTCATGCTCTGTACTGTGTCCACTCTAGGCATTCCTCTGATTATGAACGAAGATATAATTATAGGTACATATGTAGAGAAATATTCTTTAGGCACTCATACTCTATTATATATAGAGGATTATATAAAGGGATTCTTGAAGCCCTATTTCTATAAACTAATATGTGATTATGTAAAGGATTATTTAAAAGGAAATAGCTGAGTAGTAACACTATAAAGTGAGATATTCCTCAAGCCCTAACTGTGCCAGGGTTCTGCTTAGCTCTCATTCCTTGGTACCTATATGGGGGGTTACCCACATGTTGATAGTAGCATTATTCATAATAGACAAAAGATGGAGAAAAGCCAAATGTCTGTCAATTGATGAATGAACAAAATGGATATATGCAAACACATATTATTATATTATTCAGCCATAAGAAGAAATAAAGCCTGATAAATGCTACCTTAAACCATCAAGAATGAACCTTTAAAACATTATGCCAAGTAAAAGAAGCAGTCATGAAAGATCATGTATTGTATGATTAATTTTCCATGAAACCCCCAAAATAGGGAAATCCAGAGACAGAAAATGAATCCGTGGTTTCCATGGATTGGGGGGAGGAGGAAGTGGAGAACCGCTGTTAGCGGATATCACAGTTCCTTTTAGGGTGATGAAAACCTTCTGGAGTTAGCAGTGATAGCTGGATAGCTTTGTCAATGTACTAAGAACCACTGAATTGCATGCAGATGGATATTATGGTATGTGAATGTATTTTAATAAAGGTGTTATTTTATTTATATATATTTATTTTTATTTTTTTGAGACGGAGTCTCACCCTGTCACCCAGGTTGGAGTGCAATGGTGCAATCTCGGCTCACTGCAACCTTCACCTCCAGGTTAAAGCTATTCTCCTGCCTCAGCCTCCTGAGTAGCTGGATTACAGGTGTGCGCCACCATGTATTTTTAGTAGAGACAATGTTTCACCATGTTGGCCAGGCTGGTCTCTAATTCTTGGCACATGATCTGCCCGCCTTGACCTCCCAAAATGCTGGGATTACAGGCATGAGCCACCATGCCCAACCTTAATAAGGGTGTCATTTTAAAAAACAAGCTAGGAACCTACGGTGTAAAATTGAAGGAGGTTCTGATTCTCAGGGCCGCGCAAATACAGGATTGGCCCCTAGGAGTGTGGCCCTCCTGAAATTTTGTGCCTTAGGCACCTGGCTTGCCTCTCCCTAATTCAGGCCCTCAGGAGAAAGCTCTGCTTCTGGTCAATTTGCAATAGGAGGACGCGCTTCTGGGAGACTCTCCCTGGGAGCCATTTGGTCTGTTCTCTTCCTCTGAATGTCACCGTGTCAACACGAAATGCTTCAAATTGCGCCCAGCCTAGGATGTAGGCGGTGGGGGGATATCTGATGACATCACAAACTGCTGCATCGACTCCCCCAGTCTCTGCCTCTGGACCCCTGATAGAGGATACAGGAGTGTCCTGAGCCCGTGTGACTCAGTGTCTCTTCCCATCACTTTGCGGGAATGGTGGGGCTGCTTAAACCAACCGCAGTCCAAGCAGCTGTGGCAGGGGAAGGGCTCAGGAACTAGGAGTGAAGACGCCTGCTTCTCTATCTGGACTAGCACCAGTTAGTAGTAGTGCCCAGGAGTAGTACTAGTACTAGTACCCAGGACTAGTACTAGTTAGTGGTGGGATCTGGAACACATGCTTTGGTTCTAACTGAATCCCTCAAATTCATTAGACAAGAGGAGTGGACCCATGGGGCCTTTCCACTGAACATCGAGCTTGGCTGTCACCCAACTACTTTCTTAAAGTAGGAAAGCCCAGGGTTCCAGGCTCCGTCTCCTTGCCGCAGACCCCTTGCTTTTTGGCGCGGAGGTCCCGCACACCGCAGGCTACCAACCTACTTCTCTAAGCTGTCCGTTTCGGAACCCTGTCCAAAGCGGCCGCAGCGCTGGGGGTGAGTGAGGCCGAGCGTGCGCCTTGGGCACCTGGCTGGTCTCCGGCTGGCGGAGGCAGTCTTGGACATCGCCCTGGGCGGGGCAAGTTGGGGAACCCTGGCCCTGCCCCTAGCCCTGCCCCGGCCACCTCGCGCGCCGCCCCGCTGGTTCCTGGAACTGCGTGTGATCGGCAAGTCTGCTATATAAAGCTGTCTAGTATAAAAGGCGGTGCTTGCAAAGTCCGGAGTGAAAATCCGAAGCGAGCGCAGTAGTAGGATCCGGTCCTGCGCCTCAGGGATCGGCGACCAGGTTAGGAGCGCGGCACAGAGACGGCGGCAGCGTTGGAAGAGGTGCAGGTGAGGGCATCCCCGCGAAGGGCAGGGCTAGTGGACGGGAGTGGCGAGCTTCAGGTCCCCCAGCTGCCACCGAGAGGTGGGACTCGAGGACAGGAGAGGTCGTTCAGCCAAGAGCCCCGGGGAGGCAGTGCAGTCTCGGTGGGGCCAGCAACGGTCTCTGGGGGTTCCCTCGCAGCGCGCAGCCGGTCTCTGCCTCGGCAGCCCGGAGCCAGCGCAGACGCCGCGCAACCCGACGCCTCCTGGCTGCCCTTCCCGGGTGAAAGCCGCCCCCCGCAGCCCCCTCCCCACCTGCCGGCCCTATTTTCCCACTGCTCTTCTCTGCTCTGGGGTCCACGGTATGACAACGTCTGTCCTGCTTCTTATCTTTTATAGTCACCATTCTCCAGTTCCAAATCCGAGCGCTCTTATCCATAGTTCAGCGAAATGGATGGGGCCTTTCCTTCCCCGGAGCACTCCTTCAGGGCCTGAGAATCCTGGCAGCCAGGCGCAGCCCCTCGCAGAGCCTGCGGTCTGCGGGGACCGCCAGCAAGCAGATGCGGAATCACCTTCGGAAGGGTTGTACTAGGGAGGGTCGCGCCGGCGGGTCTAGGAAGCCTCCTCTAGGGAGGGAATCAGAGCCTCCCAGCCGCAGTTTGAGGGTGAGTGGAATTAATCCGTGATTGTCATGGCGCCTCCTAAGGGGGAGCAACAGTGTCTGCCAAGAGGTGACTTTGGGAGGGATTCAGGATGGCCATAGATGGAGGCTGTGACCTGAGTGAGGCTCAATCAGGGGAGGGGCAGGTGGAGAAGAAACCATTTCGACAAGGCGGCTTTGAGGGGACCCTAAGGGCCCCGGGAGATTTAGGAGGAAGGACGAGAGGATGGAGACACCGCTTACCTCTCAGGTTGCTGTGTGGCTGTGGCTGAGGGTCGCTGCGGGGAGCGGGTTGTGTTCATTGTCCAAGGCTCTCCAGTGGTTTGGTTGGCGTTTTGGGAAGCACAGGTGAGGTGTCCTGGAAGCGGTTCTAGGGAGACCAGAGGCTCACGAAGAAGCCTGGGCACTAGGCCAGGCACAGGATCTGAAGTGGAGAGAAATGTGGGCGCAGAGGACAGGCCTTGGGGGTGAGTGTGGGGAGGAGGGAGAGATGGGAAGGAGTCAGGGAGGTCTCCCAGCCTCAGCTGGATGGGTGAGGCTCATTTCCAAGGGCACTGGGAATTGCAGCCTGGGGGTGGGCAGTTCCTTTGGTTTCCGATCTGCGGCCAAGAGACCCAACCACTCATATTCACACTTTGCCTCCACTGGCTTCAGAGGTAGTGCCAGCTATTTGTTCTCTCTGGTTTTACTTTCTCACCTTGGGCAGTTTCTTGCCTTTCCATTCTGGCGTTCTGCAGGGATCAGTTCCTTCCTCCCATGCACAATCTACTCTCATGGCTTTTGCTGGGAGTAATGAGGAAAGCTCCCAAATAGGTGCTTCTGAGTTAGAACACTGAAAACAAAATGAAGCAAAAACAATGCATTTCCAATGTCCCAAGGTCACATGATGTCCAGAGGATAGTGATGGGCATTAACTTTTTGTCTTCCCTCTTAGAATGCAAGCTCCACAAATGGAACAGTGTTGTTGGTTTTTTTTTTTTTTTTTTTTTTTTTCTTTTCCAGAGTCGTGCTCTGTCACAGGCTGGAGTGGAGTGGCAATGATCTTGGCTCACTGCAACCTCTGCTTCCCTAGGCTCAAGCAATTCTCTCTCCTGCCTCAGCCTCTGGAGTAGCTGGGACTACAGGTGCACGCTATCATGCCTAGCTAATTTTTGTATTTTCAGTAGAGACAGGGTTTTACCATGTTGGCCAGGATGGTCTCAGTCTCTTGACCTTGTGATCTGCCCACCTTGGCCTCCCAAAGTGCTGGAATTACAAGTGTGGCCAGCTTTTTTTTTGTTTTTGATTTTTGTGCAGTGGGTCGATCTCAGCTCACTGCAACCTCCGCCTCCTGGGTTCAAGTGAGTCTCCTGCCTCAGCCTCCAAGAGTACCTGGGACTACAGGCGCATGCCACCACACACGGCTCATTTTTTGTATTTTAGTAGAAACAGGGTTTCACCATGTTGCCCAGGCTGGTCTCCAATCCCTGAACTCAGGCAATCTGCCTGCCTAGGCCTCCCCAGGTGCTGGGATTACAGGCATGAGCCACCCACTACCCACTGGAACACAGATTTCTTTAAATTTTTAATTCACAACTGAGTGTTCAGTGCCTAGAACAGGTGCTCAGTAAATATTTATTAAAAGAATGAATTCCTTTTTTAATCTCTTGTATCTATCACCAGATACTCTTGTATCTAGTACCTGCTTGACATACAGTAGATAGAAAGCTTTGCTGAATGAATAGCTCTGCCTTTTGTCTTTTTTGATATGTATACATCTTTTAAAAAATAATGAATAGACCTTATGTTTTAGATCTGTTTTAGTTTACAGCAAAACTAAGCTGAAAGAAAATATCCCTTCCCACAAACATCCTGGGCCACACAGCCTCCCCTACCACCAACATCCTGAATTACTGTGGAATATCTGTTACAACTGATGAACCAACATATGTACATGGTTATATAGATGAACCAATATGGATAAAACATGGATACGTTATAAGCCAAAGTCCACAGTTAGGTTTTGCTCTTTGTGTTGTATAGTCAAGATACATTTAACAAATGTATAATTGAGATGCAGTCTGATACTGATAATTACAGATGCCGTCTGTAATTATTAGACTGCACTACCCTAAAAATCCCTTGTGCTTCACCTATCCATCCCTCCTTCCCTGCACATCCCCGGCAACCACTTTTTTTTTTTTTTTACCATCTCTATAGTTTTTCCTTTTCCAGAATGTCACATAGTTGGAATTACACATTATGTAGTCTTCTCAGATTGACTTCTTTCACTTAGATTTATACATTTAAGATTGCTCCAGGATTTTTTTGTGGCTTCATAGCCCATTTCTTTTCAGCACTTAACATTTCATTGTATAGATGTACCACCGCTTATCTGTTCACCCATCAAATGACATCATAGATGACTTCAAGTTTTCGTAATTATGAATGAAGCTGCTATAGACAATCTTGTACAGGTGTTTGGGCATAAGTTTTCAACTCGTTTGGGTAAATACCAAGGTGTGGAGTTGCTTAATCTTAAAATAAAAAGAGCTTGGCTAAGAGAGGAACTCTCACTCGTTCCTAATGGGAATGCCTAATGTTAGAGTCACTTTGTCTTCCAAAGTGACTCTAACATTAGGCATTCCCATTAGGAACGAGTGAGAGTTCCTTTTGTTCCAGGTCCTCATCGACATTTGGTGTTGTGTTCTGGATTTTGGCCATTCTAATAAATGTATAATAGTATTTCAGTTTTTTCAAAACATTGTAATTCCTTAATGATCTATAATGTTGAACATCTTTTCATCCACATATACATATGGTGAAGTGTCTGTTCAGAGCTTTTCCCCACTTTTACTCAGGTTGCATATTTCTGTATTATTGCATTTTAAGAGTTTTTTTTTAGGGGGGGTATATTTTGGGTCACAGTCCTTTATCAGGTGTGTCTTTTGTAAATATTTTCTCCCGGTCTGTGGCTTGTGTTCTCATTCTCTTGCCATACATTTTTTTTTTGTTTGTTTGTTTTTACAGCATATAATCCTGTTGCGCTTTTTTTTTTACTTTTGGGACGGAGTCTGGCTCTTATAATCCAGGCTGGAGTGCAGTGGTGCAATCTTGGCTTACTGCAGCCTCCTCCTCCCGGGTTCAAGCGATTCTCCTGCCTCAGCCTCCCCAGTAGCTGGGATCACTGATGCCCACCACCACGCCCAGCTGATTTTTGTATGTTTTAGTAGAGACGGGATTTCACTATGTTGGCCAGGCTGGTCTCGAACTCCTGACTTCAAGTGATCCGCCCGCCTCAGCTTCTCAAAGTGCTGGGATTACAGGCGTAAACCACCGCGCCCGGCCTGCTGTGCATATAATTTTATTACCTGCTTTTTAATATAACACGAATAGCAAGCAGTTCCAATTTCGCTCGAGACTTCACAATTACCATTTTAAAGGCTGCAAAATAATCATCACATTTCCTCCTCGACAGGCTCACTTTACAGAAGGGAGAGGAATGCTAACTTGCCTATGGCCCTAGCGCTGGTAACCCGCAGAGCTCCGAATCCTCCGGATAACGTCCCCGCTGTAATCCACCTAGTGCTTTCCGCCAGGCCCAGCTGCCACTCGGAGGCGCAGGTTTCGGTTTCCTCTTCACTTAGGCCGCCCAACTAGCTTGAAAACAAAGTCCGCGATCCTCCAGCCGGCAAGAGAGCTCCGGGATTCAGACCCTGGGCGCGAGGCTCCGCAAGTGGCGGGGCGGCGCTCTCGCATTCCTCCTCCCGGGCAGGGGCCTGGGCAGGGGGAGGAGGCAGCGCGAGCAGTCCACGCCCTCCTGCCAGGCGCGCTCAACGCGGACGGCGGACAGCGAACCAGCTCCCGGAGCGCTGCAAGGTCCGCGGGCCCACAGCAGGGCTCCGGAGCGCTGCCGGCCAGGCGGGTCCGAGGGAGCGCGGCGGGACTCGGTTGGACGGCGCGGCCACGGAGACGGGCGCGGTAAGCGGGCTGACGCCGCGGCGGGGGGGGGAGGGGTCACTCCCTAGGCCGCCGCGCTCAGTCCCAGTGACCCCCTAGTCCGGGCTCGGACGCCCTCTCCTGCACGCCCCGGCGAGGTTGCCGCGGCGACGGAGTAATCCCGAACCTTCCCGCCGCCGCTTCTTCCCTCACCCGGGCCTCTAGACGTTTAGCCGGGAAAATGAAAGTAACTCCCGGGTGTCAGCTCAGAGGCTCGCGGCGGCCACGAGCTTCCTGGAAGGAGCGGGACTGCCCGGCTCGGGGGCGGTGGGCGGAGCCCCGCCGGTGCCGGAAGTCGGGCGGTGGGCGGGGTCGCGGGCGCTCCCGGAAGTCATGGGGCTGCTCGAGGTCCTTCCCCCGCCGACGTCCACCCGCGGCTTCCGCGCCAGGGGTCTGGGCGCTGGCCGGGGGCGGCGCACCCCTACACTCAGGCCGCGGTTACGGCGTGACGGTGGGATAGGCCGTCCCACAAGCCGATAACGTCGTTGTTGTTTTGGTGGAGAGGGTGGGCTCTTACTGCCTAAATCGTTAAGAAAAAAAAATGTGGGCTCTTCCCTTACCAACCCTTTAAAAGAGCCTTTTACTGTTGCACTGGAGGCCGCAGCAGGTTCCAAAAACAAAAGCATTTCTGCGTGATCTGAGACGACTGAGGGGATAAATGTGCTAAACCTAGCAGGGTTCTTTGGTGGTCGCTGGCATGTGCTTTTGTGAAGTGCTGCAGACCCTCTTCAGCGTTGTGAAGAGGATAGGCTGCGTCCTCCTTCCCTAAGCGTTCCCTAAGCGTCCTCCTTCCCTAAGCGTCCTCCTTCCCTGCATCCCTGCATCACAGGGATGCAGGGTTTGGATGGGAGGAGGCCTGGCGTTGTTCACTTATTTCTCTCTTGCTTACCATTTGGCTCTTCCTTAATTAAAGCTCTTTCTTATCTGGGGCAAAGCATGAGGCTGTTCCAATCATTAATTCTTCCCTGATTTACACTTGAAGAAGCCAAGGCAGGAGGTGAACTTTGAAATGTGCAGTGACGTTCCATTACTGCCAGGAAGATGCATTCAGTAAAGAGGAAATTGTGATTAGTAATGTGGAATACTGGACCGGGCAGGGTGGCTCACGCCTGTAATCCCAGCACTTCAGGATGCCGAGGCAGGAGGATCACCTCAGGTCAGGAGTTCAAGAGCAACCTGGCCAACATGGCAAAACCCCGTCTCTAATAAAAATTTTTAAAAAAATTAGCCAGGTATGGTGTCAGGTTCCTGTGATCCCAGCTACTTCGGAGACTGAGGCAGGAGAACTGCCTGAACCCCGGAGGTGGAAGCTGCAGTGAGCTCATATCATGCCACTACACTCCAGCCTGGGTAACAGGGGCTGTCTCAAAAAAAAAAAAAAAAAAAAAAAGGTGGAATACTGCAGCTCCTCTATTCGTAAAAAGTGAAGAGAAGGCTAGGCTTATTTAAAATGAAATTTGGAGTGTATCATTATTACTGTAAAATAGCAAAAATGGTAACTTTAATACTCATTTTCCTATATCTGCACTATTCTGAGCCCGAGATATGTTGTATTTTCAGGATTGTGAATATTAATGAGTATTAAGAAAAGTTCTTAAATAACCTCTTTCAAACTGGCAGCTTACTTTTTGGTGCTTGTCAATCTATAATGTGTTAACACCCATATGATCTGGGAATTTGAAGAAAATATTTAACTTCCCACGCTTTAGTTGGATATCACACTCTAGCAAAAATGGTTGACTGTATTAACCTGTAGAGCACTGATTCTGAACCATCTGTTTCCTGTATTTTTATTTTTTGAGACAGAGTCTTGCTCCGTCACCCAGGCTGGAGTGCAGTGGCACAATCTCACCTCAATGTAACCTCCGCCTCCTGGGTTCAAGCAGTTCTTCTGCCCCAGCTTCCCAAGAAGCTGGGATTACAGGCATGCACTACCACGCCTGGCTAATTTTTGCATTTTTAGTAAAAACAGCGTTTCACCATGTTGGCCAGTCTGGTCTCAACTCTTGGCCTCAAGCAGTTTGCCCACATCAGCCTCCCAAAGTGCTAGGATTACAGGTGTGAGCCCCTGTACCATGCCTTCTTGTATTTTAAAAGTTTATTCTGTACTTTCCCCATGTTTCTGACTGTAACATATTCATTTACTATAGATGAGTAAGGCTGTAAGATTAGGTCTTTGCAAGTAGGATTTTTCCAAAGACAAATGATTTGATATCTAGAGAAGTAGCGTGTATTAGTGAGCCAGTAGTGAAAGTTTGAGTGAAGGGACAAAGATTTCATTCCAGGATTTGCCGCTTTAGGTGAATCATTTAGCTCCAAATCTTAGTTTCTTTATTTGTAAATTGAAATCATGATACAATTTGCTTCAGGGGTCATGATGTGCTAATGCATGATGATACTTGTTTAAACTCTTTTTGAGTTCTTGTCTTTTGCCAGTCCTTTCTTGCTGGACCTTAGTCTTCCTTGCTCAGAGCTTTTGTTTATCTGGGCAAATCATCAGGCTGCTGTAATCAAGGAAGTTGGAGAAATCTTCTGGTCACTTGGATAACTGAGCAAAATCAGAGTTCTATTAGTGGGAAGAAAGAGGGCAATGGCAGGTGGGCAACTAGCGTTTTGTGCCATACTTGTTATAAGAGGGCATCATAGAAAAATGGGGAAAAAGTTAATTAGAATATTTTGATATGTAGACATACCCTGCCTGAGCAGACAATTTGTGAAATTTCTTGGGATTTCACATTAATTTCAATAGAAAAAAATTCACCCTCCTAAGTCCCTGAATTAATATTTATTGATGCAAAACATTTACAAATTCCATTCAAATGGACATAATTATTAGTTAACATTAGTTGATATAACAGGCCAGCATGTGTTTCTTAGTACATGGCTTTGTAATAACATGATTATGTAACATGGCCACATAAGCTACCTAAATTCAGTGCTTTTGGATATCCTTCATTCAGCTACTCACAAGGCCTTCCTAAGATATTCAGCATTTATAAAGTTGAATCTTTTATGGGGAAAAAAGAGGGGTAGATCGTAAAAACAAAATAAATCACTGGAAACCATGGAAAAGATGCATAAGATTAAGATCAGACTAAACTAGCAAACTCTAAGACTATGAGGAGAACTGATTTGGGTCAGGAGCTAAGTTCCCAAAATCCAGTGGACCCATCTGGAGGCCTTCCCAATCTCAGCTCATGAAGAAGCCCCTGCAGGTCCTAGTGGGTCTTGACAAATTTGAGGAGACATGGCTGAGACTGAAGGAGAGATACCAGAGATTTCTACTTTAGGACTCCTCATAAAGTAGAAATCTTTTACCCAAAAGAGCATTTTTCCGGGCATGTTGTAGTTCCTGCTTGTTTCTTTACTGTCTGTGAGCATTTTTAAATGTTGTTAAAATTCTTACACAGCATCACTTTTGCAAACTGCTAGATGTATTTCAGAGTATTGATAGGCATAACTGATTCTCTCCTCTGTGCATGCTAAATGTGTTACCTACTTTTGCTGTTCTTTGTAATGCCACCAGAACAGCTTTGCACATAATCTTTTTTTTATTTCTATTTTTAGTTTTTTGAGACAGAGTCTTGCTCCATCATGCAGGCTGTGCAGTGGTGCAATCTCGGATCACTGCAACCTCCACCTCTTGGGTTCAAGCAATTGTCCTGTCTTAGCCTCCCAAGTAGCTTGGATTACAGGCATATGCCATCACACCTGGCTAATTTTTGCATTTTTAGTAGAGATGGGGTTTCACCTTGTTGGTCAGGCTTATCTCGAACTCCTGACCTCAGGTGATCCACTTGCTTCAGCTTCCCAAAGTGCAGGGATTACAGGTGTGAGCCACCGCGCCCAGCCTGCACATAATCTTTATCACATCTCTGATTTGATTCCTCAGAGTAAAGAAATACTGAGTAAAGGAATTATTTCATTTAAAAAAATAATTTTAATTTTACATTAATTCATGTTTATTGTGGAAAATTTGGAAAACATAGTAAAAGTGTAAAGAAGAAAGTAAAAATCACCCTACCATCAAGATACAATCCTTGTTAACATTTTGGTGTCTTTATGTCTTTTTTTTTTTCCGTACCTATATCTGTGTCTATTTATATATATACACACACACACACACACACACACACACACACACACACAAATGTGAATATAATTTTTACAGATTTATTCTTTAAAAACAATTTTGGATGGCTGTACAATTATCTTGGGAGTGTGCTGTAATTCATTTCACAGTATTTCTTATTTCTGGACAATGAAATAGTTCTCTTTTTAAAGTAGTTATTCATTTGATGATGGGCTAGCATATGTTGGGTATACAAGACAAGTTTCCTGCCTTCTTTGAACTCTGTGAGAAATAATTCTCCATTATAGTACTGTCTTAACTATGAAAAGTTCTACTGGGAAGACTTAGGATGGCTTCCTTCACAAAAGGCCAGAGACCTTCTAGCCAGGCAAGAAGTTGGAAGAATGTGGCCTAAGAGGGTGGGAAAGATGACCCTTATGGGATAGGGAAGACTTCACAGTTCTGCATGCCCCAGTGGTCTGCAGTAAATGAAAAAGGAGGCCTAAAATCAATGTTTTCTTTTATGCCTTCTGTCTCCACCTCCTCCTACCTCATTCTCACCAGGATTGGTCAGTAGGGCCCTGCTGACAGTGATTGCAGCTGAGAATGTTGGCGTTCTCATAGCCCAAGGAAACACCATTCGTGTGGATAAACACATGTGGACGGCTGGACCAACCATAGCCAGAGACATAAAGGAGGCAACAAATGTGTTTTCACAAATATATACATATATACATATATATGCATATACAAATATATATCTATATTACAGATATATGTATATATATACATGCAAATATATACAAATTTATTTAGTTTATATATATAATACATACACAAATATATACATATATATTTTTTCTCATCATCCTTTCCACTTCTGTGAGGCAGTCATTATTGTGTTGCAGATGAGGAAATTGAGGCATAAGTAAGTGTCCCAAGGCCACAGGTTGGTGAGTCACAGAGCTAGTGAGTCACAGAGCTAGAGTTCACATTCGTAGTGAACTCCCGTGCTCTTGGAGCTATGGCTCCTGTCTCTTACCTCCAGTGCGTTCCTCACCCCGCCCCTCAGTCTTCAGGCCTTCATCTAGGCAGCCCCCCCACTTCCACCCACTGTCCATGTCCCACTGATGTATTTGTTTCCTGAAGGCACTTCCTCTCATTTGGTAATGTCTTATGTCCTAGGGAAGAAGGTCTGTGCGAGTTTCCTCTGCTGGACAGAGCTGGTTAGATCACAGTCTTAAATGAGGTGTAAAAGGCTGGTTACTCGAGTCACCTGTAGCTGGCCACTGTACAAGACCATGGGCAGCTATAGAGTTTCGAGAATCCCCTCTCTCAAGGTATTCCTTTTTTCTTTTTCTTTTTCTTTCTTTTTTTTTTTTTTTTTTTGAGACAGAGTTTCGCTCTTCTTACCCAGGCTGGAGTGCAGTGGTGCGCTCTCGGCTCACCGCAACCTCCGCCTCCTGGGTTCAGGCAATTCTCCTGCCTCAGCCTCCTGAGTAGCTGGGATTACAGGCATGCGCCACCATGCCCAGCTAATTTTTTGTATTTTTAGTAGAGACGGGGTTTCACCATGTTAACCAGGGTGATCTCGATCTCTTGATCTCTTGGTCTCGACCTCATGATCCACCCGCCTCAGCCTCCCAAAGTGCTGGGATTACAGGCTTGAGCCACCGTGCCCGGCCGAAGGCTACCCCTTTAACACAACACTGCTCCATGTGCTACCCCTTGATGAAAGGATCAACTAGAGAAAAAGCAGCCTGTAGCAAACAAACATATTTGTCTTGGACTGGGCCCAAGGTATTAAAAGAAAAAAAGGTCTGTGCAAATTTATAACCTTGGGACTGTCTTCAAATAGATTTAGACTTTGAATTGAGAGGATCGGTTAAACTATGAACTTTTATAAAGGAAGTGGTCACAGGCTGATGCCATCCTGAAGTTATAGGCTAAAGCAAACAACACCCTCAAGCCAGGCCAGACAGAATTCCCACAGATAGAAATTTAACATGAGCTCCCTTTCCAAAATTATAAAACACAAAAGAAAAATTCACCATGAGATCAATCCTGCAGCTACACCAAATAGCAATAGTGAGTGTACTGATGTGTACTTGGAAATACGTCAAAAAGTCAGATAGACTGATGGACAGATGAAGGGAAAAGGAGATGGAGAGTTACATGATGAAGCAAATAGTGTAAGATGATACTCATGGTGGATGTAACCTTTGCACTTTGGTGTTTTTCATAATAAAATGTTGGAGGGCAGGGAGTTATAAATAAATAAATAAATAAATAAATAAATAAAGGGGAAGTCTTCATTCCAACCTGCTTTTTTTTCTTGCATTCCCTGACCTCATCTGGGCTTTAAACCTCAACTTCTGGATGGCAAGGTTGGTACTGCCATGTGTGAGCTACTGCCTGCCTCTGGCACCCTGTTTATTTTCTGTCCTTAGAGTTCTTTTCCTTTTCACAGAGTTCTGGTATGCATTTGAATGGATGTTTGTATTATGTTGTCCAACATACCTATGTCCTGTATAGCTGGAGTTGTCTTAAAGTTTTCTAATGCTCCATATTGTCAGAAATGAGAAGGCTGAAGAAATAAACATTATAGTCTCCTGTGATTCTTAGAAATATGAAAAATAGCTTATCTTAGAGACTATACGTCTATTCTCAAAAATCCAAGGCACACCAAGCATGTGGTGGAATGCTACAAAAGTTTTAAAAATAATGATCTTTTCTGCCAGGTGCAATGGCTCACAGCTGTAATCTCAGAACTTTGGGAGGCTGAGGTGGGAGAGTTTGAGACCAGCCTGGGCAACATAGTGAGACCCCCCATCTCTACAAATAATTAAAAAATCAGCTGGGCATGGTTAATAATTTTTTAAAAATCCCTGGGACCTCTGGTCCCAGCTACTCAAGGAAACTGAGAGAGGAGGATTACGTGAGCCCAGGAGATAAAGCTCCAGTGAGCTATGATTAAGCCACTGCACTTCAGCCTAGGCGACAAAGTGAGACCCTGTCTCCAAAGGAAAACAAAACAAACAAATATATATTAATGATCTTTTTGCCCTGAGGTAGTCTCTCTGTTTTATTTACAGGGTACAGCTCTGACAGGGGGAGAAAAGAGGTACCGCTTTGGGCATTCTGAGCATTCAGAATGGAACCAGACATATCCTTGAATGCCATTAAGATGAAATCCAGTGACTTCCTGGAGAGGGCAGAACTGGACAGCGGAGGCTTCGGGAAGGTGTCTCTGTGTTTTCACAGAAACCAGGGACTCGTGATCATGAAAACAGTGTACACGGGGCCCAAATGTACCGAGTGAGTGGGGAGCAGGGGTGGTGGGCTAAACTCTGAGTGGGGTGGGGACGTTGGCTGCTGTGGAGCCACTGGTGGATAGGGTGAGACGGAGCCTGCCAAGGTGTCAGTGTGACAATGGTGCTTACGGTTGTTATTGTCACTTAGGGGGACTCTGAGGCTGGGTAGTGAAGGGCTCACAGCTAGTAAGTAATGGAAGAGACATGAACGAGAAAGAAACAGAGAAGGACAAAGAGATAAGTGTGGTGAGGGGGACAAAATGGGAAAGGGAGGATGAGTGAAGACCTATTTATATGCTTCAAATTTTCAGTGAAGACCAGCCCTAAGTATGAAATTAAAAAGGCAGTTCATCCCTGAAAGGTTCTGGGAGACTTCCCTTTAAAGCAACCAGTGGCGTGGTTTCACTTCTTTCCCGCCTCGTCAGAGTGATTGTGAGAGAGGCCGATTTTTTTTTTTAATCAGTCTGTCCAGCAAGGTCCTTTTTCAGGTTATCTTGCTGCTGTTCATGTACGTTTCATTCATTGGTTCATTCATGCGTTCATTAACTTACATTTTTTGAGCATACATTGCCAGTCACTGGGCAGGAGAACTGTGAAGAAGCGAGAAACTGCTCTGCCTTCTAACGCTTCTGGCCTGTGCCTGGAAGAGATCAGTACACACCCAAGCATGACCCAAGCACGTGGGGTCGATGTGTTGGAGGTGTGAGCCAGGCTCTTAAGTCGCTAAATCTGCCAACCTCAGCATAGCACTCTTCCTGCCCACAGGCACAATGAGGCCCTCCTGGAGGAGGCGAAGATGATGAACAGACTGAGACACAGCCGGGTGGTGAAGCTCCTAGGCGTCATCATAGAGGAAGGGAACTACTCCCTGGTGATGGAGTACATGGAGAAGGGTAACCTGATGCACGTGCTGAAAGCCGAGGTAGAGAGTGCCCCTCCACATGGGGATCCCCAGCGCTGTGGCCCTAGCCATCTGTTATGGCTGCCTTTGTGGTGTGTGTTTGTAGCTTGCTAGTATAAAATTTGCAAATTGCTCAGTAGTTTGAATTTTCTTTTCCTTTTATTATACAGACAAGGCCCAGGCTGAACCCAAACACCTGCTCTCAAGCGTTCCTCCCACCTTAGCCTCTCAAGTAGCTGGGATCACGGGCCCGATTTCCTGAACTCAGTTTCTCCTTAAAACATCTATGCCTTGATCTGGCGCAGTGGGTCACGCCTGTAATCTCAGCACTTTGGGAGGCTGAGGCAGGAGGATCACTTGAGCCTTGGAGTGCAAGACCAGCCTGGATAACATAGTGAAACCCCATCTCTACAAAAAATAAAAGGTGCATGTGAACAGAGCGAGACCTTGTCTCCGAAAAAAAGAGAAAATCTTCCTTGCCTTTTGCTGCCCTGAGAAAGGTCTCTTCATCCTGTCGATCCTGCGGACAGTCCTCTGTACGACTCAGTCTGTGTCTTAGGAATGTGATTGGCTGTTCACCATACCTGTCCGCTGCTCTGCAATCTGCAGTTCAAAGACAGGCCCTGTCTTCATGATGCAGACATCGTCTGATGTGTAGTATATGCATGATGGGATGACAAATAAACATGGATTGATTGGTGAAAGCATATACACTATAAGTAAGAGCAGATAGAATATTCGTGGTTGCGCTTTGATACCATTCAATGAAGTTTCATTTTAAATCAAATATAGAACCTAAGTGGCAACAACACTAGATAGGATTTAAAACAAAAATAAAAATTGTTTACCAAAACCAAATCATTTGAAAACATTTTTAAAAGCTTATGTGCCTTTTAAGATGAAGGGCTGGTGCTAGTTGCTCATGAATCAATAGCTCATATGATGCAGGCAAGTAAAAGGAGGCAGATCAGTAAATGAGTGGTATGGTGTGGTAATGGTTTTTTTTCTTTTTTAAGAGAACGAGGTTTCACTGTTGCCCAGGCTGGAGTGCAGTGGCATAATCATAGTGCACTGCAGGCTTGAACTCCTGGCCTCAAATGATCCTCTCACCTCAGCCTCCTGAGTAGCTGGGACTATAGGCATGAGCCACTGCACCCAGCTGTTTGACGGTATTTTTTTTTTTTTTTTTTTTTTTTTTTTTTTTTTTTTTGAGAGGAGTCTCACCCTGTCACCCAGGCTGGAGTGCAACGGCGCGTCCTTGACTCATTGCAACCTCAACCTCCTCAGTTCAAGCGAGTCTCCTGCCTCAGCCTCTCGAGTAGCTGGAATTACAGTTGTCTACCACCATGCCTGGCTAATTTTTGTATTTTTAGTAGAGACAAGGTTTCACCATATTGGCCAGACTCAAACTCCTGACCTCATGATCTGACTGCCTCAATGTCCCAAAGTGCTGGGATTACAGGCATGAGCCACTGCTCCCAGCCGATGGTGTTCTGATAGACATACTCATCGTCTGCTGTGGGAGTACATAAGAGGCACCCACTCAGTCTGGGATAGACAGGAAAGGCTTCCAACCTGAAGCACTAGTAGATGTTTAGAAGCAGAGAATTAAGGAATAAGTGTTCCAGGCAGAGAATACTATGTAGAGACTGCCAAATTTGGGCAACTGTAAATTCCTGGGTTTGGCTAGAGCATAGATAGCAGAGGGCATGGGGTGGGGTGGTGGGACGTGGCTGCCTTTTTGCCAAATACTCCCACTTTTCCGCTTTCTTCTCCCACCCCACAATTGCCAAGTCAACCGACATCTCACAAAAATGCCTTTGGGAAGAAGAGGTGATACTTACACGCATGGTATTGTAGTTTGATGAGATTGCTCTCCTCCCCAGAACTCGAAAAGATCAGCTGTTTGAAGTAAACCTTTGATTGGGAAATAAGTCTTTGGTCTCCCATCCAACTACTAACCAGGCCCAGCCCTGCTTAGCTTCTGAGATGAGCAAGAAATCATTTGGGACATGAGGCATTCTGCAGGATCAGGGAAGTTCAGGTGCACAGTGTTGGGACTCAGGATATCAACAGGACCTGAGAGAGAAACAGAAAGAGGAGAGAGGGACCAACTTTGCTTGCTCAGAAGTTTTTCCTAAGTTCAAAGGTATAGCAAGGAAGAAGGGAAGACACTTCTTGCTACTTTCTGTATGGTGGTGATCACACTATTTTTTTTTTTTGAGAGAGTCTCGTTCTTGTTGCCCAGGCTGGAGTGCAATGACACGATCTCGGCTCACTGCAGCCTCCGCCTCCCGGGTTCAAGCGATTCTCCTGCCTCAGCCCCGGAGTAGCTGGGATTACAGGCATGCAACCACCATGCCTAATTTTTGTATTTTTAGTAGAGACAGGGTTTCACCATGTTCCCTTGTATTCTTTTTTCTCTTAATGTTATTTTTACCCACATTTCCATGGCATTGTTCATGTTCTTACTGTAAACTTAGTATGACATCATATGAGTATCCCATTAAAAATGCTTGTTTGGATATTTATTCATCCATTCATTCAATACACATTCCAGGTACAGTCCTAGGTTCTAAAGATACAGTCCCAGCCGGGCGTGGTGGCTCATGCCTGTAATCCCAGCACTTTGGGAGGCTGAGGTGGGTGGATCACCTGAGGTCAGGAGTTTGAGACCAGCCTGACCAATATGGTGAAACCCCATCTTGAAAAAAAAAAAAAGTATACCAAAAAGAAAAAGAAAAAAAAAGAAAGATACAGTCCTAAATAATATATATTTTTGTTCTCAAGGAGCTTAATTTTATAGTATTTTATACATTACCAAATGATTGTGGGATTTTGTTTTTACACGAACAAAATACAACATGCATACCTTTGCCCCCTCTCCCCTGGCATGAAATCTTGTTTCCCAGCAACAGCAGTGCCATGGTGCATCTACTGGAAGGAAACCTGGTAACCCTGTCCTCAGGCTCAGATCCCACCAGCCTTTCATGAAACAGTTGCTTTGGCCTTATTTGATTACCTTTGCATTTCATAGACTTAATATCACCTGTTTTAGGTGAGTACTCCGCTTTCCGTAAAAGGAAGGATAATTGTGGAAATCATTGAAGGAATGTGCTACTTACATGGAAAAGGCGTGATACACAAGGACCTGAAGCCTGAAAATATCCTTGTTGATGATGACTTCCACATTAAGGTAAACCATCATTGGTAGGCTTCCAGAAAGTTGGGTGATTTTAGTTTTGATTCGCCAATGTAAATTCATTCTTATAAATTGTAGAAGCTAAAGGAAGACATAGCTCAGCTTATGACTGGTGATGATGGTGCCGAAAGGCTCTACCAGTGTTTGGAAGGAAAGATGCAGGTTTGTTGGGATCCGGAGATAACTGTCAGGATAACTCATATCTTTTGGGGAAGAGTGGAATTGAATGGGGTAGGTAAGAAGGCCTCTTTCCTAGACTGTTTTTCTCCTCTGTTAGACTTGAGATAGAAACATTCAAAGGTTGCCTTTTTCATCCTGGAATGGGCCACTGGCACCATAATTTTCCCCAGGAAATCTCTGTCACCAAGACTCCCCTCCTCTGGAAAAGCAGGGGAATGTGAAGATGTGTGCAGAAAATCCTTAGAGTTCAGATGTGGCCTAAAATTGAGATCAGCAGTGAGTTGATCATTTTGGCATCAAAAACCTCTACTTTGAAATTTTGTTTATATTTTTATTTAATTGTTTACTTCTGCCTGTATTTAGAAAAATCAGTTTCCAGCTAGGCGTGGTGGCTCAGGCTTGTAATTTCAGCACTTTGGGAGGCCGAAGTGGGTGGATTACCTGAGGTCAGGAGTTTGAGACCAGCCTGGCCAACACAGTGAAACCCCGTCTCTACCAAATCTACAAAAATTAGCTGGGTGTGGTGGTGGGTACCTGTAATCCCAACTACTCGGGAGGCTGAGGCAGGAGACTCACTTGAACCTGGGAGATGGAGGTTGCGGTGAGCCAAGGTCATGCCACTGTACTACAGCCTGGGTGACAGAGCTAAACTCCATCTCAAAAAAAAAAAACTTTGACCACCTTCTTTCCATTGTAGTAAGGGGAACAAGGGAAAAGGATTTTTCTTTGGTTCATTCAAGGGCAGGACTTAGCTAGGGGGAGCGTCATATCTAATTGGCTTTCGCAGCAGGAGTCCAAGCACTAGCCTCTGAGAGGGGAAGCGGAAGGGGAAGCAGCACTGGCGGGGCGGGGGGGCACTCAGGATCTGCTGACACACGGGCCTCTCTCCACCAGCAGGTTCTTTGTCTAACACTTTGTCCTAGTCAAGGACAGATTTTTATTCCCATGTCTTTAAAAAAAAGCCATGGGAATAAAAATTACTCATTCATAACCTATCTTGAAATTCATGACTTTCCTCTTATATCGTGGCTTAGCATCTGTGGATTTTTGGCAATCACATGCTACAGATAATCCCCACGAGCCTGCTTGGATTCCTGGAGGCAGAAGTGGAACTAGCACCCTTGTTCTCTTCTTAATTGAATTGCTCTGTCATTTTGCCCCGCCACCTCTGTTCTTGTTCTGTGTCTGACCTTGGTATTTTTCTCTCGCTTTTTTGTCCATTTTTCTCCTCCTTCCCACCCCATCTTCTCTTAGGTTCAGGCTACGACTCAAAACAAGCAACTCTGCAGTCCTTATCCTCAGTGTGTCTTTGGGATCCCTAGACACTCGCATCCATGGGCCTCTCGACGCCATTTGGGGAAGTAGAAGGTGTAGTACTTAGCCACTGTCTGCCACATAAATGTGCAGAGAAGAAAATAATCATGTTCCCCTAACCCCCAGAAATAGTTGAAAACCATATGCAGAGTCAAGGGGGAATTAGAATAAATATGTTTGCTTGTTACTGTTCTTGCCAGAAATGTCTTCTGCTTTTCCTCTCCCACTTATTGCATAAGGAAATGTGATACCAGAATTTCATCTGAACATTTCTTGGGGGAGATTTTACAAATGGCTGACGAGACACGGTTTCTGTGAGTCTACTGCAAAGTCACTGTTCGTAACCTGCTCAGTGCAACCATTTCTGGAAAATTTACCGTATCTTACGTATATTGAATAAACCCCAAATTTAAAGTCAAATCTGATGCTTGTGGCCTTCACCAAACAGTCTCAGTGGCTCCATCTCTTTTGCAGATCGCAGACCTCGGCCTTGCTTCCTTCAAGACATGGAGCAAACTGTCTAAAGAGGAGCACAATGAGCTGAGGGAGGTGGACAGTACCTCCAAGAAGAACGGTGGCACCCTCTACTACATGGCTCCTGAGCACCTGAACGACGTCAACGCGAGGCCCACAGAGAAGTCGGATGTGTACAGCTTTGCCATAGTACTTTGGGTGATATTTGCAAATAAGGAGCCATATGAAAGTAAGGCATTAGAAGAGTGCGATTTTGATATGAACCAACACTGTTACATGAAGTAATGGGCTTCAGTAAAGTCAGTGGTGGTTTATAATTGTTTGTTCTTTCAACGCCAGTCTTACCTGCTCAGCTGTGAGTTCCGTGGGAGCAAGGACCACATTTGATTTATCCACTGCTGTCTCCTCAGCATCTACAGGCACTGTACCTAGAACTAATAGGTGCCCAGTAAATTTTTGTTGAATGAATTAAGTATTCCCATATAGGAATCGGATCGCAGGATGAATAGGAACCTTGATAGTGTGTCATTAGCTTGAGAAGTGCTGTGAAATTCCAGGGTTCTTCCTAGAGAGGAAAGTTTGATTGTTTCTGCTTGTGAATACTTAGCCTTTCACACTATAAGGCATACACATCATACTTCCACTCCTTCACTTACTCCGTCATTCAAGAATTATATATATATTATACATAGTTACTTCTGTCTGTATTTTAAAAAATCAGTTTCCCTCATGTTTTCTCCATTGTAGTAAAGGGAACAAGGGAAAGGGATTTTTCTTTGGTTCATTCAAGGGCAGGATTTAGCTAGGGGGAGCATCGTATCTAATTGCCTTTCACAGCAGGAATCTAAGCACAAGCCTCCAAAAGGGGAATTGGAAGAGGAAGCAGCACTGAGGGGGCAGCAATCATATATCATTATTACATTATGTAGATAATATAATAATTGAATGGAGAAAGTGAATTAGTATAAGATATAAATATTATATATTATTCACTTCTTCATTCAAGAATTATTTCTTTAAATTATTTAAAGAATTGTTTTTCAAGAATTATTTCTTTTCGGTCCCAACTGTGGGCACTTTAGTCAGCATTGGGAATATAAAGATGAGTAAGTCATAACCCATATAAGAGAACAGAGACACTCTTCAGTTTGTTACGTGCATAAACTAGTGGATGTTTTCCTACATACTCATCTTGGGCAATCATCAACTCTCCCAGGCTGGAGTGCAGTGGCACGATCTCAGCTCACTGCAACCTGTACCTCCCGGGTTCAAGCAATTCTCCTGCCTTAGCCTCCTGTGTAGCTAGAATTACAGGCGTGCACCACCACACCTGGCCTTTTTTTTTTGTATTTTTAGTAGAGACAGGGTTTCGCCATGTCGACCAGGCTGGTCTTGAACTCCTGACCTCGTGATCCGCCTGCCTCAGCCTTCCAAAGTGCTGGGATTACAGGCATGTGCCACTGCGCCCAGCCGCGAATGCGTCTTAAATCTGTGTTTCTGGCTCTGGCCTCGATATCCCCTTGTCTTATGGTCAGATCCATCGCAGGTACCAGAGGAGCCTCCAAAGCAGCATTCCCCAAACACACCCATCTTGTCGACGCTGTCCTGCAGCTTGCCCTGCTTCACTCCTCTTCATATGCTCAGAAAGTGGCATCACCACCCTTTTACCAAGGTCCAGGTCCCCAATAAGGAACCTTAGAATCATCCCAGACTTAACCCTTGCCCCTCCTCTCTCACATTCTATCAGATCTCAAAACCTATGAATTCAAGATACATATATGACTCAAGATATATCTGCAACCCATCTACCTCTCTCCATCCCCACTGGCCTCTGCTTCGTTCAAGCTCTCCTCGTTTCTGCGGCAGGCTTCTCCCACCACTCACCATTCATGTGGCGGCCAAAACGGTCGTCCTAAAAGGCGCATGTGACCCTCTTCCTCACCTATTAAAAATCCTTCCCAGACTCTTTGTGGTCTTCAGGATAAAGTTCTAATTCCTCAGTGTGGAATAGAAGGCCTTCATCGTCTGGCCTTTGCTTCCCTACTGACCTCATCCCTAACCCTCCCTTCTTTGTCAATGTATAGTTACACTGAGTGAGGAATTTCTGGGATGTGTCATGATCTCTGTAACTCTAGTCTGTCAATATCCTGCTTCTCTTGTCTGGAGTCCTCCTCCCTAAGTCTCCCTTTCCCATTCTTTACCTGCTGGTTTTCCTGGACTCAACAAAGCCTTTCTAGTCAGGGTTGGGCTACCGGAACCCCTTGTACATCCTTCTTGAATAGCAGTGATCAGTCTGTGTTTTAAGTTACTCTCATTAAAATGAACTCCTAAAGGCAAGGACTGCCCCATATTTACCTTTGCATATGGAGCATGCCATTGGCCTTGCCCACATAATCCCTTCGTTCCACCAATAGGCAACTTTGTTGAGAATTTTGTTTTATCTGCAGACGTTAAGATATTGTTTGGTCATCTGTATAGTAGAATATGTCAGCTCCTTGTCATAAGACCATTGCACTCTAGGGAATGAGGCAGCTGTACCACAGGCATACCAGAGGCAGAGAAAAATGAGCATTGTTCAAGTTCTGTCACCTTCCTGCCTGAGAGAGGAGCAAAACCTGAAAGAAAGTCTCAGCCTCAGCTTCTCTTTGCTTTTAGATGCTATCTGTGAGCAGCAATTGATAATGTGCATAAAATCTGGCAACAGGCCAGATGTGGATGACATCATTGAGTACTGCCCAAGGGAAATTATCAGCCTCATGAAGCTCTGCTGGGAAGCGAATCTGGAAGTTCGGCCAACATTTCCTGGTAAGATCATCTTTTCTGACTGTGTAGGTTGCGACCTGTGTGGTGATTTTCCTAGTAGGATGTTGTTAGGAACTTGGTTTCAATCTTCAGAAAACTGAGTTCCACTTTCCTTGTGGTTTTAAACTGATTTCCTAGATTTCAAACATGTCGTTCAATACGAAGAAACCATCTCTCTCAACAGCATGAAGGCACGTAAGGCCTTCGTGTTCCCTTTTTTGTAATTAACTTTTTAACTTGGGTTAAAATATATATAACATTAAATTTAACATTGTAACTGTTTTCAAGTGCACTGTTCAGGGGCAGTAAGAACAGTCCCATTGTTGTACACTCACTCTCTATCATCCCTCTCTCCGCCCCTAGCAACCCTCATTCTACTTTCTGTCTCTATGAATTTAACTGTAGTGAGTACCTTATATAAGTGGAACCATACAATATTTGTCCTTTTGTGTTTGGCTTATTCCACTTAGCATGATGTCCTCGAGGTTCATCTGTGTTGTAGCATATGTCAGAATTTCTTTCCTTTTCAAGGCTGAATAGTATTCCACTGTGTGGATAGACTGCATTTGTTTATCCATTGATCCGTCTATGAGCCCGTAGGTGGCTTTCACCAGCCTTCTTGCTTCTTCACTGCTTTTAGTTCTGCCCCTCCCTTGTTTAGCTGGCACCGTTAGAAATGTATTTTGCCAGTTAGATTGGCCCTGTCGCAGAGGGAGGACGGAAAGGACCTGGGTGTTTACTGAGCAGTATTCTATGGTGTGGATGTACCACAGTTTGTTTATTCATTCCTTGAAAGACTTGTTTCCAATTCTTAACTGGTCGGGACTAAAGCAGCTGTAAATACATGTTCTTATGTGAATATAAGCCTGAATTTCCCTGGAATAAGACCCAGGAGTGCAATAGCTAGGTTTTATGGTAGTTTCATGAATAGTTTATTTTAACAATTTCCAAACATTTTCCTAGAGGGGCTGTGCCATTTTATATTCAGTGTCTGAGTGATACGGTTTCTTGCATCTTCACCAGCATTGGGTACTCAGGCTACTTACACGTCTATTCAGCCAACTACAAATTTGAGTATTCCCCCAACCCCCACTACAGGTTTGGTAATTCATCAGAAAGACTCATAGAACTCAAGAAAACATTTTACTTATGTCTTTTTATTATAATGGGTACAATTCAGAAACAGCCAAAGGGAAGAGACGTGTAAGGTGAGGTTTGGTAAGAAGGTGTACAGAGCTTCCATAGCCTTTCAAGACACACCATGTTCCAGTGCTTCTATGTGTTGAGCAACCTAGAAGCTCTCCAAACCTTACCATTTAAGGGGATTTATGGAAGTTCCATTACATAGGCATGATTGATCAAATCATGGTCATTGGTTGCTTAAGCTTAATCTCCAGTTCCCTTCCCCTCACTGGAAGTCAAAGGTGGAGCTGGAAGTCCCAACCTGCTAATTATAGCTTAATCTTTCTGGTTGCTAGCCCCCAGTCTGAAGCTCCCTAGTTTTCTGACCCCACCCAAAAGACACTCTTAGAAGACTCCGAAGATTTTAGGTGCTACCCACCATGAACAAAACCAAACCTTCCTGATTCTCCAAGGTGTCTTCTTTCATTGTTTTCTCTCTGTTTAGAGAACTTTCCTTAACCATTCTTTTAGGATATGTCTATTGTCAATAAATTCTCTTTGTTTTCCTCTGAAAATGTCTTGGTCTTTCTTTTGTTCCTGAAGGATATTTTTGCTGGGTATAAGATTCTATGTTGACAGTGCTTTTCTTTCAGGACTTCAGAAATATTGTGCCACTTCTTTCTGACCTCCATGGTTTCAATTAAGAGATCTTCTGTCATTCTAAATTTTTTTCCTTATAGATAAGGTGTTATTTTTCTCTTGCTGCTTTCAAGACTTTGTCTTTATTTTTCAGAGATTTAGTTATTATTTGTTTTGGTGTGGATTCCTTTGGGTTTATTCTGTTTAGGTTTTGCTCAGCTTCTTGAATCTGTAGGTTAATGCCTCATCATATTTTGGAAGCTTTCAGCCATTATTTCTGTCAGTATTTTTTAAGCCCCACTCTTTGTCTTTTCCTTCTGGAACTCTGACAACATAAAAACTGTATCTTTGGTTTAAACTATAAAAACTATAGTCCCACAGGTCCTAAGGCTTTGTATTTTTTTTTTCAGATAATTTTCTCTCTTGTTCAGACTGAATAATTTCTATATTCTTTCTTCCAGTACACTGATTTTTCTCTCTCCTCCATTCCACAGTTGAACCTGTCTACTGAGCTTTTTATTATATTTTGGTCATCAAAGTTTCAACTCTGAAATTTATATTCTCCCCTTTTTTGCTGAGACTTTCTATTTTTCATTTGTTTCAGGCAGGTTCATAACTATTAATTGAATCGTTTTGATCATGGCTATTTTAAAATCCTTGATGGGTAGGTAATTCTAACATTGCCATCATTCAGTGTTGGTATCTATTGATTGTCTTATTTCATTCAGTTTGGGGCCTTTCTGATTCTTAATATAATGAGCAATTTTTCTGTTGAAACTTGTACATGTTCTTACTATGTTATGAGATTCTGTATCCTCTTTAAGCCTTCTGTTTTAGCTGAACTTTTCTGACACTGCTCTGACAAGGGAAGAGTGGTGGCCACCTTAGTAGTGCTGGGTGCAGGTAGAAGTTCAGCCTCTCCACTTAGCCCCATTGATGCTCAAGGTCAGAGGCTCCTCTTCACTGCAGGTCAGGGGTGGGAATTCTGGCAAAGTGCACATAGTCCCCGCTGACAAGGGGTGAAGGCACCTCATTACCACTGGACAATGTTAGAAGTCCTGATTCTCCACTAGACCTCCTCTGACACTTCCCCAGTGGGGAGGGGAAAGGGAGTTTTGTTACTGCCATGTGGGGTAAATCCAGGCTGTCCTTGTGTTCTACTGACATCAAGGGAGTGGAGGGGCGCGTTATTAGCTGGCAGGTAGAACAGCCTGGCTTCCAGCTGGGCCTCATCTGACATTACCCTCGTGGGGGTGTTGGGTTTCCTTGTTACTGTCTAATGAGATTGGATGTCTAGGCTCTCCATTTGGCCTAGCTGCTGTGGGTCGGGGTGGAGCCACAGGGTTTGTTCTGTGGTAATTGGCTGGAACAGAGTGGTTACTGACTAAAGGCTTTCTCCTATCCAAGTACTAACCAGACCTGACCCTGCCTAGCTTCCAAGATCAGACAAGATGGGGTGCATTCAGGATGGTTTGGCTGCCCATGGACTAAAGGTTTTATCTTGGTAGGCTGCCTCTTGCTTAGTTCTCCGGCTAGAAAGAGCAGGCTTTGGTTGGAGATTTTTTTTGTCTGAGGTGTTGATGGTTCGAGGTTGCCACCTTTTCAGCCAAGTCTGAGATATATGAGGAAAAGAGAGAATCTAGTGAACTCACCATTGTGTGTTTCATCTGATCCCAGGGTTTCCTGCGGGTCTGCCTTCTTCTTTTCTCCTTCAGAGTCTCTGTATATTTGTTTTAAAAATAATACCTAGGATTTTTTTTGTTGTACTTAGAAGAAGGAATAAGAAAAAATTATGTCCACTCCCATTGTCCTAGAAGTTTCTTTTTTCTTTTAAGGCTAACAGCTCTAACACATTTCACTAAATCCTCGCTCTGAGTATCCCATCCTTTCATAAATTCGATGCAGAAGGGACAGAAACACAGAGTTTGCTCATCCCTGTTCAGCTGGAGATGAACTCACATCAGGGAGTGGTTTGTGTTGCAGGCAGAGAAACTATAGCATGAATAAAAGGCACAAACAGCACAGGCTATTTAGGCAGTAACCCCTGGTTCCCAGGGTTAGCCTATCCCTTATTCTGTCTCCATCAGAGTCAGTGATTTGGAGCTTAAATTTTTATTTTACTGCTTTGCCCACAGATTGAGGTAGATAATTCAAAGATAATAGATGGCTAATATTTTTATTTTATGTTAGAAAATAATTATGAAATTTAAAATACTATTTTATTCTTACAGGCATTGAAGAAAAATTTAGGCCTTTTTATTTAAGTCAATTGGAAGAAAGGGTAGAAGAGGACGTGAAGAGTTTAAAGGTAGGCAATATAGCAGATGCTCAAAATACTAACATATCAAAATATAGTCAATCATGAAAACCAGAACAATGTAATTTGTTATTGAGATTTGAGGTAAGCTAGCTTGGTTAACATATAAAACAAAATGAGCAGTTGTCTGCAAATACCATCCTGTTGGCATACTGGACCCATTTCTCCTTCAAAACTCACAAAATGAGAGGAAACATGTATAGCCATATGAAACAAAAGCACAGTGTTGCTGGCAAAGAGGAAAAGTACCGCAAGTGGATCAGTCATTTTGAGGACTTCTTGAAAGATAATCCACAGGTGATTCTGCTGAGACATAAAACAGAAAAGGAATATGAACCCAAGACATAACGCTGAGGAAGAAGTACTGGAGGGGCAGTCTTGGGTCAGTGTATAGAAGTAACGGCATGGTCACCTGAGACATTGACAGGAGAGTCATTTGAGAACTTCATTTATGTTCTTTAGGAAAGTTGGCTTCTCTCCCTACTTCCCCTATGCTTAGCAACAGATGGCAGTACCGTCTCCCCAAGACTGAAGCAGGGAGGTGGTATCTGGGGTGAGAAGGGTATGACAAGACCAGTTAGGAACCAACCAACTAAGAGGAATGGAGACCACCCTGCCCCACTGCCAACTCTGTAATCAAACTACCGTCATACATCTTCCAGCAACTTACTTCCATAATCATGAACAGGAGACTACAGCAAATAAAACAGGCAAACAGACAGAGATTTTTAAATATAATTTTTTAAAAAGATTAGAATCAGCTAAGATAAACTCAAAGACAAAAAAACATTCCCCCAAACAATCAGGAATATTTCATAATGATAAAAGACTCAATTCATCAGGAAGGTGTAACCACTTTAAATGTGGAGCTACCCTCAGTAACATTGTAACCGGGTTTTCTCTTGAGCGCTGGTGAGGCACAGCTCCCCCTAGAGAATGCTGTGAGTTCTTGGCCTCCAACCTCTTAAAGAATAAGCGGTGGGGGCCACTGCAGGTGCACCGTATGCTAGTAAAAATAAATATCAGACCCGAGAAGTGTTGCAGAAAGGTGATTTTATTTAGGTAGAGAAAAGAGAAGGAAAGGAGTAGAAGAGAAGGGCTTACACGAAGAGTGTGGACGAGGATTCCAGAGGGGAAATCCCAGAGGGAGCTCCCACCGTGTGGGAGGGGATTCCAGAGAGCTGGAAATCTGGCCTAGGTGAAGGAGCAGCGGAATTTATCCTGGGAGAAAGTCCCACCTTCCCAAGTTCCTCTGGCCAATGAAATGAGTTCCTTAGAACTTCTGCTGGAGTGACTGACTTTTAGTTTCTTCCCGTGCCTGTGAAATTCAAACATAAACTGTTATATACCCCGGATGGGGAGAGCTGGGAGGGGGGGCGTGGCGCTGGGAAATTTTTGCCCTTAAAACTACGCCCCCTCATGGACCTGGAAAGAGGACACATTCCCTCAACATGGCCTCAAAATCAACACAGCAAAAAGTGACAGAACTCAAAGAGAGACAAATCCACAACTACAGCTTAAGATTTTAATACACATCTCTCTTCAATTGCTAAAACAAGCAAACAAAACTCAGTAAGGATATAGAAGACATGAAGAATATGACTAACACACTTGACCTAACGGAAACACATGGTATGCTGTACCTAGTAACTGCAGAATACCCACCTTTAAAGGCTTTTCAAGAACATACAGAGCATTTTCAAAAACTGACCATGTGTTAGGAAATCAAACAAGTATCAAACAGTTTAAAGGATTGTAATCATATAAAAATGTCCTCTGACTGTATTTCAATTATGTTCCAAATTAATTTTGAAAAGGTAATTGGAAAATCCTATGTGGTTAGAAGTAAAGAAAAATACTTTTAAATATCCCTTAAGTTAAAAAAAAAAAAAAAAAGGAAATCACACTTATTTAGAAAGTATTTTTCACTGAAGGCTAACAAAACACTACATATTAAAATTATAAAATGTACTTTGCAAAAGAGTATTAGTATAACCTTAAATAAGTAAATATTTTTATATGTTTAAGAAAATAAGAGACTGAAAATTAATTAGCTAAACATTTATCTGAAGAAGATAACAAATCTATAGAAAAAAGAAATAAATAATAAGGAAAAGAGCATAAATTAATGACACAGAAAATAATTAATAGCGGATCAAAAAAGCCAAATATTGGTTATTTGAAAGGCCATTAAAATAGACTAATTAAGACTGATTGAGCTAGGTGTGAGGTATGTGCCTGTAATCCCAGTTACTCGGGAGACTGGGGTGAGAGGCTCATTTAAGGCCAGGACTATCTTAGGCAACATAGTGAGACCCTATCTCTAAAAAAATAAAGTAAAAAATTATTGAGACATGGTGGCATGTGCCAGTAGTCCCAGGAAGGCTGAGATGGAAGGACTGTTTGAGCCCAAGAGTTTGAGGCTGGAGTAAGCTATGATTATGCCACTGCACTCCAACCTGAGTGACAGAGTGGGAATCTACTTCTAAAAAAAAAAGACTGACAAAGGAGACAAGATTGAAATCCATGAATAAAGAGGAATCACTATAGGTCCTATAGACATCAAATGGTATTAGAATATTATGAACAACTCTTTGTTGACTATTTTAAAATTAGATAAAATGTACCAATGTCTTTTATAAAAAGTATAATTTAGCAAAGCTAACTCAAATAGAGATAGAAAATTTGAATATTCCTCTATTAAAAGAATCAGGGATTCAAGAAATCTTCCTCTGGAGAAAATCCCACAACTAGATAGCTTTGTCAATGATTTCTACCAAATATTCAATGAAGACATTATGTCAATCTTACACAGCTTTCTCTAGATAATAGAGAAGAGAGAACTCTTCCAGATTCATTTTGTGTAAGCATAACCATGATTCCAAGAACTGGAAAAAGTGCAACAAAGGAAAATTACAGACCAATCTTGTTAACCGTATGGATGCAAAAGTTCTAAATAAAATACTGTAAGCAAAAATGAATTTATCAAAGAACAAAAGCAAAATAGATTTATTCCAAGAATGCAAAGTTAGTTTAACTTTATGAAAATATGTCAGTATAATTTATTACATTGTTTTAGTACTTATTTTAACAAAATGTTAACAGCCTTTTTTTTTTTTTTTTTTTTTTTTTTTGAGGCAAGGTCTTACTCTGTTGCCCAGGCTGGAGTGCAGTGGTGCGATCACAGCTTACTGCATCCTTGACCTCCCAGGATAAAGTGATCCTCTCACCTCAGCTCCCACCTAAGTAGTTGGGACCACAGGCATGCACCACCATAGCTAGCTGATTTTTGTATTTTTTATAGAGACAGGATTTTGCTATGTTCCCCAGGCTGGTCTCAAACTCCTGAGCTCAAGCCATCTGCCCTCTTGGGATTATAAGGCGTGAGCCACTTTGCCCAGCCCACCTTTCTTTGAGATAATATGCAAGACCAAGCTACTTACCATCCCCATTAGATAACACACAGTAAGATAATATTATGTGTCTATACATTGGCAAACATGGCAAAGCTTTTCTTTTTTTTTTTTTTTTTGAGACGGAGTTTCGCTCTTGTTACCCAGGCTGGAGTGCAATGGCGCGATCTCGGCTCACTGCAACCTCTGCCTCCTGGGTTCAGGCAATTCTCCTGCCTCAGCCTCCTGAGTAGCTGGGATTACAGGCACGCACCACCATGCCCAGCTAATTTTTGTATTTTTAGTAGAGACGGGGTTTCACCACGTTGACCAGGATGGTCTCGATCTCTTGACTTCGTGATCCACCCGCCTCGGCCTCCCAAAGTGCTGGGATTACAGGCTTGAGCCACCGCGCCCGGCCGGCAAAGCTTTTCTAAACAACATGAAATGAATCTAAATAAACAGTGAAATCTGTTTATGGATGAAAGACTTGACATACTAACAGCTGTCTATTTTCCCCAATGTCATTTATAAAAGGAGTGCAATCCTAATTAAAAGCACAACAAAATCCTTTATGGAATTCAACAAGCTGACTCTTAAGTTTGTGTGAAAGAAAAAAATGTACAAAGATAGCCAAGAAAATTCTGAAGAAGGAGATCAGCACAGCATAGTACTATAGCAAGGATAATCAAATATATTAATAGAAAAGGTGAGTCTTTGCAGTTGGGTTTCCAGAAGCAGTCACTGAGCTGGAGATCGGGGTGCAAGGAAGGCGTGGGAAGCAAGAATGAGCAGAGGAAAAAGTCAAAGGGCAACAAAGCCTGACCAAGAGCTCTGGCAGCGGGAAGCACTGAGCACAGCCTCTCTGGCTTGTCCCCTACCAGACTGAAATGCACAAGACTTTTCTCCCCTCGCCTCACTCAGTCACTGACCATAGCTGCTCAGAAGGAGAGTACTGGGGCAAAGAAGTTCACAGCTGCAGGCTGATTGCTCACTCAACTCCTTGCAGCAGGGCAGCAAATCCCTTCTTGAGAGGGAATCTGAGAGGCCCATCACTGTCTACCACAGAGTCCAAAATCAATCCATGTATGTTTCTTTTATTTTTTATTTTTTTTCATTTATTTTTATTTTTATTTTTTTAAAGACAGGGTTTCACCATGTTGGCCAGGCTGGTCTTGAACTCCTGACCTCAGGTGATCCACCTGCTTCGGGCTCCCAAAGTGCTGAGATTACAGGTGTGAGCCACCACGCCTGGCTGTTTCTTCAGCTGCACATAAAATTCACAAGGTATAAAGAAAAGGATTATTGTATATGACCTCCTAAAAATGGAAAGGTAGTTGGAAAGGAGAAATTGTGTTTAGCAAAGGATTAATATCCAGAATATTTAATAGAGTACCCACAAATAAAAAACAAAAATAACTCAAAAGAAAAATAATAGACAAAAAACATAGACAACTCAAAAAAGAAAGTGAACAACACACTTCAGAAAAGATATTTGGCCTTGCCAACAGAGAAAAGCAAAATGAGTCTGTTACAACTTTTCATCCATTAGATGGAACTTTTTGAAAGATTGGTAATACAATGTTTTGGTGAAAATTCAGAATAACAAGCAGTCTTCTGAAGTATTGGTAAGAATGTAAACTGGTGAAGTTTATTAGAAGGCAAAGCACCCAACAAATTCTACAAGCCCCTAAGTTTGCTGCAATTTACTCTCAGTAATGTATACCACTCACATGTGCACTCAAAGATGTAGCTTCAGTTCTTTGTACCTTAGTTTATAAGAGTGAAAAACTGGAAAAAACCCAAATGTCCATAAGTAAATGCCCTAAATTATGATTCATCTAAACTACAGAATACTGTATAGCCATTTAAAAGAAAGAGGTGGAAACTAACATGTAATAATATAGAAAGATTTCAAGATTAAATGTTAGTGAAAAAATAAGAAACAATATATACAGTGTGATCTTTTTAATGTTTATATGTATATAAACATATATAACGTATATAAACATGTTATATATAAAAAACAAGTATATATAACATTTATATAATATATATAATATAAAGTTTATATAATATAAAGTATATATAACATGTTATATAATATATACATATATAAATATATATATGTTTATATATGTTATATTGTAATACATATAAACAATGTTGGCCAGGTGCAGTGGCTCATGCTTGTAATCCCAGCACTATGGGAGGCCGAGGTAGGCAGATCACTTGAGGTCGGAAGTTGGAGACCAGCTGGCTAACATGGCAAAACCCTGTCTCTATTAATAATACAAAAAAAAATTAATCAGGTGTGGTGGTGCACATGCATAATTCCCAGCTACTCAGGAGGCCGAAGCATGAAAATTGTTTAAACCCAGGAGATGGAGGTTGCGGTGAGCCAAGATTATGCCACTACACTCCACCCTGGGCAACAGAGTTAAAATGTGTCTCAAAAAAGAAATTATATATATATATATATATACACACACACACACACACACACACACACACATATGCATATATATATACATATTTGTGTGTGTCTGTGTGTCTGTGTGTGTGTATTTGTGTATTTCTAGAATATGTATGCAAATTCCTAGAGAGAGAATAAGAGTGTGATATGCATCACACTCTGGATAAGGCTTACCTCTAGGGAATGGAAGAGTAGGGGCTGAGGGAATGTTCGGGTATTACTCTGTGATTCTGAATTGTTTGAAACTTTGTGGTTTTTTTGTTCGTTTGTTTGCTTTTTTGAGACAGAGTCTCACTCTGCACTCAGGCTGGAGTGCAGTGGCACAGTCTCTGCTCACTACAACCTCCACCTCCCAGGTTCAAGTGATTCTCATGCCTCAGCCTCCCGAGTAGCTGAGATTACAGGCGTGCACCACCATGCCCAGCTGATTTTTTTTGTATTTTTAGTAGAGGCAGGGTTTTGCCATGTTGGCCAGTTTGGTCTCAAACTCCTGACCTCAAGTGATCTGCCTGCCTCAGCCTCCCAGACTGCTGCGATTACAGGCGTGAGCCACCGTGTCCAGCCTGTTTAAATCTTTCAAAAGGAGTTTGTACTTACATATTCATGTAATAAAAGAAACTATAAAAAGAAAATCAATTTTATAAAAATAATATAACAAAAATAATTTTCATATTAGGCCAGGTGTGGTGGCTCATGCCTATAATCTTAGCACTTTGGGAGGTTGAAGTGGGTGGATTTCTTGAGGCCAGGAGTTCAAAACCAGCAACATGGCAAAAACCCATCTCTACAAAAAAATACAAAAATCAGCCAAGTGTGGTGCCACATGCCTGTAGTTCCAGCTACACAGGAGGCTGAGGTAGGAGGCTCTCTTGAGCCTGGGAGGTCGAGGTTGCAGTGAGCCATGATCTCACTACTGCAGTCTAGCCTGGATGACAGAGTGAGACCCTGTCTCAAGAAAACAAACAAACAAACATATATATATATATATATATATATATAAATTAAAAACAATAAACACACAGCTGGGTGTGGTAGCTCAAGCCTGTAATCCCAGCTCTTTGGGAGGACGAACTGGGAGGATTGCTTGAGCCCAAGAGTTGAAGGCTTCAGTGAGCTATGATTGTGCCACTGCACTCCAGCCTTGGCAACAGAGGGAGATTTGATCTCTAAAAACAAACATATAAAGAGACAAAAACAATATATAGAATGCTGCAAAGTGTGAACATAATACCCTCTGTCATTCACCCCTAGATCATGCATGTATTCATTTAACTAATATTTTTTGACTGCCTATTTATATTGCAAGCATTCTGTTAAGAGCAAAATACAAATAAAACTAGGAAAAAACTTGAAGGAAAAATGCCAACGTGTTGTTTTATCTTTGGGTGAAGAGAAAAGCTATGGATAGGGTTTAAGAATTTATAATTTTCTATATTTTCTATAATGAAGATTATTGCTTCTAAAAGGAAAAAGTTTTTTATTGTAGGAAAATAAACATAACATAAAATTCCCTATTGTAACCATTTTTTTTTTTTTTTTTTTTTGAGACGGAGTTTCACTCTTGTTACCCAGGCTGGAGTGCAATCTTGGCTCGCCACAACCTCCGCCTCCTGGGTTCAGGCAATTCTCCTGCCTCAGCCTCCTGAGTAGCTGGGATTACAGGCACGCGCCACCACGCCCAGCTAATTTTTTGTATTTTTAGTAGAGACGGGGTTTCACCGTGTTGACCAGGATGGTCTCAATCTCTTGACCTCATGATCCACACACCTCGGCCTCCCAAAGTGCTGGGATTACAAGCTTGAGCCACCGCGCCTGGCCTATTGTAACCATTTTTAAGTGAACAATCCAGTGGCATGAAGTACATTCATAATGTTGTGTGGCCATTACCACTGTCTATATCTAGAAGTTTTTTGTCATCCCAAACTGAAACCCTGTATCCATTAAGCAGTAACTCCCCATTCCTCCCTCTCCCAGCCCCTAGTCATCTGTATTTTGTTTTCTGTCTCTGAATTTGCCTATTCTAGGTAGCCCCTAGCAACAGAATCACACAATATATTTCCTTTGGAGTCTGGCATTTTTCACTTAGCATAACGTGAAAGGTTCATCTGTTTCATAGCATGTGTCAGAATTTCATTCCCTTTTGTGGCTGAATACGATTTCATTGTATGGATGTGCAGGTTGAACATCCCAAAACCAAAAATCCAAAATTCAAAATGCTTCAAAAATCTGAAACGTTTTGAGTGCCAGCATGATGCCACAAGTGGAAAATTCCACACCTGACACCTTTGCTTTCTAATATAGTTTAGTATCCTCAAACTTTGTTTTATGCACAAAATAATGTGCATACTAAAATATGGTATGAAGTGATCTTCAGGCTATGTATATAAGTTGTATATGAAACACAAATAAACTTCATGTTTAGACTTAGATCCTGTTCCCATGATTTGTCATTATGTACATGCAAATATTCCAAAACTGGAAACAATCCAAAATCCAAAACACTTCTGATCCCAAGCATTTAATATAAGGGATACTAAACTTGTACCATATTTTGTTTATTCATTCATTTGTTGGTGGATGCTTGGGTTGTTTCTACCTTTTGGCTATTGTGAGTAGGGTACAAGGATGTATTTGAGTTCCTGCCTCTTCAGTTCTTTGGGGTATATACCTAAGAGTGGAATTGCTAGATCATATGGTAATTCTATGTATAACTTTTTTTTGGAGACAAGAGTCTAACTTTGTCACCCAGACTAAAGTACAGTGGCACCATCTTGGATCACTGCAACCTCTGCCTCCCAAGTTCAAGCAGTTCGCCTGCCTCAGCCTCCCCAGTAGCTGGGATTACAGGCACACACCACCATTCCTGGCTAGTTTTTGTGTTTTTAGTAGAGACGAGGTTTCACCATGTTGGCCAGGCTGTTCTCAAACTCCTGACCTCATGTGATCTGCCCACCTTGGCCTCTCAAGGTGTTTTCTCTCTATTCTGTGGGTTATCTTTTTTACTCTCTTCATAGTATCCTTTGATGCACAGAAGCTTTTAATTTTGATGTATTGTTTTTACTTTTGTTTGCATTTTTGTGTCATAAGCAAGAAATCACTGCTAAGTCTAATGTCATGAAGCTTTTCCCCTGTGTTTTTTTCTAAGAATTTTTGTGGCACTAGCCCTTAAATTAAGTCTTTGATCCATTTTGAGTTAATTTTTCATATGGTATGAAATAAGGGTCCGACGTCATTGTTATATACGTGTATATTCAGTTTTCCCCATTGAATGGTCTTGGCAACCTTGTCAAAATCAATTGGTTTATGGGAGGGTTTATTTCCAGCTTTCCATTTTGCTCCATTGGCACATGTGCCTGTCTTTATGCCAGTACTACACTGTGTTGAATACTGTAGCTTCGTAGTAAGTTTTGAAATCAGGAAGTATGAGTCCTCCAACCCTTGTTCTTTTTAAAGATCATTTAGGCTATTTGGGAAAAACATTAATTTTAAAAAATTACCACTTGTAACATCTATGTGAAATTTCTACCTTCTGAAAATATTAATTCTTCTCATAATTTTCTGGGACTCAGTATTTTCTGCTGTTCACTAAAGTGTGTATTTATGCTCTTATTATAGAAAGAGTATTCAAATGAAAATGCAGTTGTGAAAAGAATGCAGTCTCTTCAACTTGATTGTGTGGCATTACCTCCTAGCAGGTCAAATTCAGGTAAATTACACTATGGTCAAAACCTATTTATTTATTTATTTGTTTGCTTATTCATTCACTCCACTCTAAAATACTATTCAAGACCATAAGGGAAACAGAAGAAACTATAAAAGTGAACACCTGTCTTAAAGGAATTTATAACAATATTCGAGAGTCTTAAGTTACGTATATTTGAAATATGAAGTAACAGTGTGCTCAGCAGAGTCATAGAGTGTTCTGAGCAAAAGAGGCTTAATATATCTGATGGGGAGAAGTGACAGTTCGGGGAGAAGGAAGGGGACATACATGAGAGCAAAGACCCTAGGGAGGTCGGAATGATTTAGAGCCAGAACACAAGCAGAGAGGCTGGCCTCAGGTCAAGTAGGGATACTTTTTTCACTGTAACAAAAGGGCTGGCACGAGTGTAGGTACTGAAGCTGCTTCGTTATGTGATCTGTGGCTAATTACTTAACCTCTTCTGAACTTCATCCATCAAATCATAATAATTGCTCCTCCTCTCGTAGGGCTCTTCGAGAATGAAAATTCATGGGAAGTACTTAGGACAGAGCTGCTATAGATCTTTCTTTCTTTCTTTTTGATTTAGAGTCTCACTGTCACCCAGGCTGGAGTGCAGTGGCATGATCTTGGCCCACTGCAACCTCTGCCTTTCAGGTTCAAGTGATTATCCTGCCTCAGCCTCCCAAGCATCTGGGATTACAGATGTGCACCACCATGCCCAGCTAATTTTTGTGTTTTCAGTAGAGACGGGGTTTGACCATGTTGGCCAGGCTGGTCTCGAAGTCCTGACCTCAGGTAATCCACCCGCCTCGGCCTCCCAAAGTGCTGGGATTACAGGCCTGAGCCACCGCGCCCGGCCGCAGATCTTATTTTCCACCTGAATTGCTCTAAAGAGACAACTACCTGCTCTGTTCTAAGCCAAGTCCCTTTTTTCCTTGGTCATCCCTGCAACAGCTGCTTTTCTCTTGCTTGGTATAATTTTCCTAGTTCTCTCGCTGCCAGCAAGGAGCTGCTATTATTATTTGTAATGCTTGCGGGCAAAGGACCATCTCCTAAATGCTTTGGACTGGTCTCCTACCTGTTTTCTCTGTGTTACTCTGAGGTACAGATTCACGATGGCACTCAGATTTTATTTTACTTTTTAATGTTTCATGAAACTCATTCCAATGTTGACTATTTCTTCTCAGCCACAGAGCAGCCTGGTTCACTGCACAGTTCCCAGGGATTTGGGGTTGGTCCTGTGGAGGAGTCCTGGTTTGCTCCCTCCCTGGAGCACCAGCAGGAAGAGAATGTGCCCAGCCTGCAGAATAAGCTTCAGGAGGAAACCAACTACCATCTTTATGGCAGCCGCATGGACAGGCAGACGAAACAGCAGCCCAGACAGAATGTGGCTTACAACAGAGAGGAGGAAAGGAGACGAAGGGTCTCCCATGACCCTTTTGCACATCAAAGACCTCGTGAAAATTTTCAGAATACAGAGGGAAAAGGCATTGCTTCTTCTGGTGCAACCAGTCCTGGTAATGCAGTGTACCAGCCCTCAGGGCTCGCTAGCCAAGTTCAAGTACCATATCAGAACAATGCATTATATGGCTTAAGTGGCTTTGGAACAAGACCACTGGATCGAGGAACAGCAGGTCCCAGAGTTTGGTATGGGCCAATTCCAAGTCATCTGCCTAGTCAGTATAAAAGCCCAGTGCCTGAGACCAACTTTCTAGGAAACACACCCACCATGCCCTTCAGCTCCTTGCCACCACCAGGTAAATGGGTCTTTGATAGTCACAGTCTTGTCTTTTTTTTTTTTTTTTTTTTTTTTTTTTCTGAAAATAAAGCAACAAGCAGCTCTGTTGTAGATTGTGGGTTATGATGGGGACAGAGAGCATCAGCCGCCAGACACAACTTGCCACTGTGGAATAGTCTCCGCCAGACCACTTGGTCTGGGAATATTTCATATGGGGCTAGGATTCATCACAGATGCCCACAAGCATTGGGTTACAGGTCCTTGGGACTGCTAGGCATCTTTGACTCTAACCTAGATTGCATATTAGTCCTATTTCACCCAATCTCTGATAAACGGGAAGATACCTGCTTATTTGCTTTTACCTTGCTTGCTGGTTTGAAGGTAGGAAATAAGTCTTGGATATTTTTATTTCTTACCTTATATAGGCCAAAGACTACCATTAGTGATGAAAAATTTTCTTTTAACTCCCATATCTCTATGAGGTGAAGTAAAAGGTAGGTGATAGTAGTTATTGGCAATCTAGAATGGAAGTGATTTAATGTAATATCCAGCATTTTTATCAAATAATACTCACCAACATCACCTTAACTACCTGAACGGCAACTATCAATAATACCCATATGTGTTCTAGAGAGCTTTAAATCAACTCAGGTAGAGGAAGCTTTGAGAACCACAGAGCTTAGTTACATTTTCTTTCAAAAGGCCAAATTCTCCAAAAAAACTATGCAAACATCCTTGATTTTTCCCAAAGGTTTTATTATAAAATCTGTAGAATGCAAAATATTGGATTAGACATTAAGCAGCATCTAAGTCATGTATAATCATATGAGCGAAATGTCCTTTTGTTTCTTTCATGTCTGGGGATAAAGTTTTTCATTATATCATTTTATCCATTCCTGATTAAGTCAATGAAAATTTTGGCTGGGGCCATGGTTGGCCCGGCATGGCGGCTCATGCCTATAATCCCAGCACTTTGGGAGGCCGAGGTGGGTGGATCACTTAAGGCCAGGAGTTCGAGACCAGCCTGGCCAACATGGTGAAACCCCATCTCTACTAAGTAATACAAAAATTAGCTGGGTGTGGTGGCACATACCTTTAGCCCCAGCTACTCAAGAGGCTGAGGCAGGAGAATCACTTGAACCTTGGAGACAGAGGTTGCAGTGAGCCAAGATCATGCCACTGTACTCCAGCCTGGGCAATGGAGTGAGATTGTGTCTCCGGAAAAAAAAAAAATCCAAAGCAATTCCCACTTTGTGCCATGCAGTTCTCCAGGCACTGGCACTACAACAGTCAACAGCCAACCTGGGTCCCTTCCCTCATATAGTTTAAATCCTAGTGGACAAAAGGCAAACCCTAAACCAATATTTAATATGTCATTTTTTTATCTTGTTTCTATGTGATCAACCCAAATACAGTAGTTTAGTGTCAGAAATACCTTTCTGTTTTCACTCTCGCTCTGGCTCCTGGTTCTGCCAATGACGGATGTATAGGGATCCAGCTCCTTCAGGATTCTGGGATGCTTTCAGTGGGGAAGGGGTACTTGGATCTACAATAAATAATAGAATTTTCTGTGTTTCTGCTCCCAAAGATGATTCTGCCAAGTACTGAGCTAGTAAATGAACACACTGAGTTTCTCCCTGCAAATTTAAATCATTCTACTGCTTGCTTTTGTTATCATCAAAAAGTCCTAACTCTGGGCCAGGCGCAGTGGCTCGCACCTGTAATTCCAGAACTTTGGGAGGCCAAGGCAGACAGGTCACCTGAGGTCAGGAGTTCAAGACCAGCCTGGCCAACATGGTGAAACCCGTCTCTACCGAAAATATGAAAATTAGCTGGGTGTGGTGGTACACACCTGTAATCCCAGCTACTAGGGAGGCTGAGGCAGGAGAATCACTTGAACCCAGGAGGTGGAGGTTGTAGTGAGCTGAGATTGTGCTACTGCACTCCAGCCTGGGTGACAAGAGTGAAACTCGGTCTCAAAAAAAAAATGTCCTGGCCAGGCGTGGTGGCTCAAGCCTGTAATCCCAGCACTTTGGGAGGCCGAGGTGGGTGGATCACAAGGTCAAGAGATCGCAACCATCCTGGTCAACATGGTGAAACCCTGTCTCTACTAAAAATACAAAAAATTAGCTGGGCATGGTGGCGTGTGCCTGTAATCCCAGCTACTCAGGAGGCTGAGGCAGGAGAATTGCCTAAACCCAGGAGGTGGAGGTTGCGGTGAGCTGAGATCGTGCCATTGCACTCCAGCCTGGGTAACAAAAGTGAAACTCCGCCTCAAAAAAAAAAAAAGTCTTAACTCTGTACCAAATGTGGGATTTCTAATTTGCCATCCCATAGAAGGAAGGTGTGTGTATACAGTAAAAACAAAAGGAAAATAAATGTCTTCCTTTCAGTGAAAGAGCTCCTAGATCCACTCCTTTTTATTCACTGTGCTGCTTAGAGTGAGGTTAGAAAAGGAAAGCTCACTGGGCTAAGAGTCAGGAGACCCAGCTCTAGTCCTGCTTGTGCCAGTCACTATCTGGGTGACTTTGGGAAAGTCGTTTTCCTCTCCAGAGTTCATTCTTCTCAATTATAAATGAAAATGTTACAACTGAAAATTTATATATTGTAAGCTCTAGTATGTTTCTAATATTGCATTCGTTTCTCCATTTCATAACTTTCATGGTTTTTCCAGTGGCCGGATTTGGGCAGAAAGCACTGACTCAGGAACACAAGTTTCCCAGTAGAGGGGTGCAGGATAAACCTCCCTGCATGTCTGTGGTGAGCGCAGACTGTGACGGACAAACACAGTGTCAGTCTAAGCTGGAGGTGGTGGGCTAGGAGGATTAAACAGGGTAAGGCGGCTTGGCACTGTGCCTGACAGTGCACAGAATAAGTGCTCAGTAAATGGTAGCTGCTGTTATTAGCACTGTTATTATCATAGTTAATATCTTAGCCTTAGTGTTAGTCATTTGTGACCTTAATATCTATACATCTGTATCTTTTAATGATCTGTGTGTACTATCTTTGTGATTATTTTCTTAATGCTTTTTCTTGAAGTCAATTCATTTTTGTTAAAATACATTTATTTAAAGAAAAATATATTAGAAAATGATGTTCACTATAAATAAAAGGTAACTGTACAAAGTAAGTACAATGTTAAAAAAAAAAAAAAGGAAGGCACCTCAGAGATCACAGGGGTTCCTTGCTAGGATTCCAAGGACCCCAGTTTCAGCAGCTTCACACCCAGAATTGCACACAGATGCCATGCATGTGCACATGCTACATTTCTTACACCTTTCAGTAGAGAGGGTCCCTAGTTTCCTTGGCTTCCTCAGAGAAAATGCAACAAATGCGCATGGCATCTGGTCCAGAGGGCAGCCTACCTTAGGGCCAGCTGTGCTGACAGAGGTACCTAGAGCTGAATTTCATTTCCCTCCCTCCTCAGAATTGTCTTCTCGACCACCTTCTCTCTCCTGCAAAGATATGCTAAGTGTTCTTTAGAGACAGTATCAACACTTGACAAATTCAGCTCGGCATGAATGCCATTGAGCCCATGCCCCATACCAAGTCCCAGGCTAGCGAGCATAAGGAATCCAAAAACAGGTGGATATGGTTGCTACCTCTCGGGACTCACATCCTAGTGGAGAAGTCAAACCGACCTAGCGTGAATACAGAGCAGCCCAGGGCAGTGTCCTGAGTCTAGGATTACAGTGCAGGCTCATGGAAGGAGGTGGAATCTGTGCTGGGCCTATGTCGGAAACTCACAAGTAGGGAGAAACACGTGGGGAAGTCAACAGTCCAGCAGAGGCAAGAGCATCATGTCAGTAGATGAGTGGGAAATCTGGTGGGACTGGAGTCTGGCGTGGAGGGAGACAGGAAACAGTGAGAGGAAGATCAGAGAGAAAGGGTAGAGCAGAGCTGTGGCTAGCTCTGAAGACGGAACCTGAGAGGTGTGAGGTGAAGGAGGAGGACCCTTCACAGATGTTGTCGAGTTGTGGGATCCTGTTGGGAAGTGTGGCTGAGCTTTGCTGTGTTGTCACCTGTTTTCTGACGTGGCGTTAGCCACATGTTTTTAATGGTAAAATTCAAAAACATAAAATTGACCATTTTAACCATTTTTACAGTGGCATTACTTACATTCACATTGTTATGCAACCATCACCACCATCCATCTACATAACTGTTTTAATCTTGCAAAACTAAAATTCTGTATCCATTAAACACCAACTCCGCAGTTCCCCTCCCAGCCTCTGACAACCACCATTCTACTTGCTGTTTCTGTGACTCTGACTATTCTAGGTACCTCATGTGGTGGAATCAGGCATTTGTAGCATGTGATGTGATTCCCTTCCTTTTCAAGGCTGACTATTCTATTGTTTGGCTAGACCACAGTTGGGTTATCCACTTATCTGCTTATGGATGCTTGGCTTACTCCCACCTTTTGGCTATTGTGAATAACGCTGCTATGAACACATTGACAGAAATATTTCTTCAAAAACCTGTTTTAGTTCTTTTGGGTATATACCCAGAAATGGAATTGCTGGATCATATGGTAATTCTAGCTTTAATTTTTTTGAAGAACTCAATACTATTTTTTCTTCTTTAGATGGTGTCTTGCTCTGTTGCCCAGGCTGGAGTGCTGTGGCACGATTTCAGCTCATTGCAGCCTCCACCTCCCGGGTTCAAGTGATTCTTCTGACTCAGCCTCCCAAGTAGCTGGGATTACAGGCACCCGCCACCATGCCCGGCTAATTTTTATATTTTTTTTAGAGATAGGGTTTCACCATGTTGGCCAGGCTGGTCTCAAACTCCTGACCTCAAGTGATCCACCTGCCTTGGCCTCCCAAAGTTCTGGGATTACAGGCGTGAGCCACTGCACCTGTCCAGTGATACTCTTTATAGCAGGGCCTGCACCATTTCACATCCCCACCAGCAGTGTGCAAGGGCTCCGTTTTTCCACGTCTTTGTCTATATGTGTTAATTCTTTTTTTTTTTTTTTTTAGTTGTAGACATCCTAATGGGTTCAAGGTGGTTAAGCCACATTTTAAAGAAGAAAAGTTTAAAGGGTGGCATAGAGTAATTAACCCAATGTTTGGAGTAAAGCCATGCTTTTTTGCAGTGCTTGATTTTTTTCTCTTGCTTTCGATCTAGAAGTACTTAACCTGTGTGTTTCTCTCTATTCAGAAGAATCTATAAAATGTACCATATTCAACAGTAGGGGTATTCAGATTGGAGCCTACAATTATATGGAGGTTGGTGGAATGAGTTCATCACTATCAGACAGCACAAATGTGAACTTTAAAGAAGAGCCAGCTTCTAAGTACCAAGATATCTTTGGTAAGATACCCTTGAAGGACCCAATGTCTAGCAACCTTGAACTTTCTTACTTGTGAGAAGGATGTAGTAGAATCTTAAAATTTTTCTGATAATTCTTCCTGAAAGTTTTCTCATGTTACTTCTGCAAAATATCTTTGTGATTTCCATATAATTTATTTGTGATTTATTTATTTTTACTGTGGAGATAATAGTATTTAATTCATGGCTTTGTTGTGAAAATTAAATGAGTTGATATGTATAAAAAGCTTAGAACGCTCCGTGACACATAGTAAGTTCTATAAAAAGTGTTAAACTTTCATCATTATCATCAGTATTACTGCTCAGACCTTGAAGAAATAGCTGTGTCAGGCCCTCATCAAAGGAGATCCTGTAAAAGAGAGAAGACTATGCCCTCTGCAGCACTTCTGCAATAAAATCAAGAGGGCTGTCTCTTATAGGGTTCTACTGTGCGGACCCATAATGCTAATCTCGAAGTATAGTCTGGAAAAAGCAGTCATGAGGCCAAAACAGCTTGATTAAGAACCCAGCTTTCTAATTAACCACCAGATTGGCTTTTTTTTGTTTTGTTTTTTCTTGTAGAGGAACCGATAGTAAATGTTAGGCATTGCTGGCTTTGAGGTCTCTCTTGGAACTACTCAACTCTGTTACTGTAGTACAAAAGCAACCATAGACAATACGTACATGAATGAACATTGCTGTGTCCCAATAAAACTTTATTTACAAATGCTGGCAATTGGCCCACAGGCTGTAGTTGGCCAACCCCTGGTCTAACCCATTTGAAGAACAGCTTTTAAAATACCTGGAACAGAGGTTCTTAACTTTTGATTAGTCAGGGGCACCCTTGAGATTGTAATGAAATCTAGGATCTGTCCCATAAAGAAATACTGACAAAATTTGGCAAATATTTTGGGAAGTTTTTGGACTGCTGACAATCTAGTGGTGGCGACACAGGCCACATTATGGAGGGCTGAGGAAAGAAGGGAGGTTGAAAGGAAGAATGAGATGTTTTCTCCCTTACATTCGGTTTAATGAGGTAGAGTGGGGATTAGGGAATATGTTTGTTGTGGTTGTTTTACATTTTTATTTGTTTCCGTTTATTATTTTTATGAAGGGCCAAGAGAAGAACTAGTAGGAGAGAGGTTATGGCTATCGGAGAAGAGGCAATGGCAGTGGGGGGGGGGGGTGTTGGGGGTGGGGAGAAGGGTCCAAAAACGGACCTTTCATCGTGTGCAAGACAAGGAAGACATTGTAACTGAATGGGTTCACACCTGCTGGACAGTTTCCTTGATTAAGAGGAAAGTGAACTGTTGGGCAGGGGTGATGGTTAGGAGTTGAGAGGCTTTAACTCTGGCCAGATGTAAGTGGAAAATGTCCAAAAGGAACAAAAATGGTAATTTTTCCCTTTACATCCAGGAAGGTCTAATACAAACAGGGTCACCGGCTAAGACTGAAAAGAACACCCAGCCTTGTAGCCACACAGGGGTTTTGTTCACAGAGCTATCAGCTGTGGCTCAGAGATATGTCTGCTAGGAGGAAGGAATGCCTTATTCTTTTTTGTTTTGCTTTTGAGACAGCATCCTGCTCTGTGGCCCAGGCTGGAGTACAGTGGCACAATCATGGCTCACTGCAGCCTTGAACCCCTGGCTCAAGTGATCCTCCTGTCTCAGCCTCCTGAGACTACAGGCATGTGCCACCATGCCCAGTTTTTTTTGTAGAGACAGGGTCTTGCTATGTTGCCAAAGCTGGTCTAGAATCCTGAGTTTAAGTGATCCTCCTGCCTTGGCCTCCCAAAGTGTTGGGATTATAGGCATAACCCACTACACCAGGCCAGGAATGCCCTATTCTAACTCACACAAAGACTCCATGTGGGCCAGCAGGCATGTAAAATGTCCACCAAGGCGTTAACAGCTATATAATTAAGAGGTTATCTTTTTCACTGTCTCCTGCTACTCTTCACTTCACTTGGGTTTTTTGTTTTTTGTTTTGTTTTGTTTTGTTTTGTTTTTAGCAATTCAGGAAGTTGGAATGTTTGAATGGGTTTTAGCTTGATACCTTCTTCTCTTTCCCATTTGGCAGATAATACCACTAGTCTGACTGATAAACACCTGGACCCAATCAGGGAAAATCTGGGAAAACAGTGGAAAAACTGTGCCCGTAAACTGGGCTTCACACAATCTCAGATTGATGAAATTGACCATGACTATGAGCGAGATGGACTAAAAGAAAAGGTTTACCAGATGCTTCAAAAGTGGCTGATGAGGGAAGGCGTTAAGGGGGCCACAGTGGGGAAGCTGGCCCAGGCACTCCACCGGTGTTCCAGGATCGACCTTCTGAACCGCTTGGTCTACGTCAGCCAGAACTAACCCTGGACGGGCTATGGCAGCTCAAGCGACTCCTTACTTAGTGAATTGCTGGAGACCCCAAGAATGTGGGGCGTGACCAACTCAGTATCCCTCTGGAGGCTATATGAGTAAACAGCAAACTGTCCTCATGAAACCAGGATGTCAGCGGCCAGAAGGAAAGTTGAGGGCAGTTGCGCCCCTGGTCCCGTGCTCCTTGAGGCTATCTGTGCTCCTTGAGGTTATCTACCTAAATATCTGTAACCTGTGGAAGAAAGGAAGCAGTACCTGTAATAAATCAAGTTCACCGCCTCCTCCCTATTCACCGTACTTAAACACAAAGGGCTGTAAAAGCTCAGGGCTTTTGTTCACTAGAAGCAAAGAGCCCCCGACCCCTTCTTTCAAATAGAACCTTTTGTCTTTGTCTTCAATTCCTAAGTTGGCTGCCTCAGAGCATTCAGAATTGTCCTCACTGATAGGGGTTCTGTGTCCACAGAAATATTGTTTCCTATATTTCATAGCTGGAGAATGGGGAAAGAAATCGGGAGCAAAAGGGTCTCACTCTGTTGCCCAGACTGGTCCCAAACTCCTGGACTCAAGTGATCCTCCCACCTCAGCCTCCCAAAGTGCCATGAGCCATCGTGCCCAGCCAACACTCCGCTGTGAGGAAAGTGAAGCAGGAAGACCTCTTAAGGGCACAGCACCAATCAAAACATGACTCCTAATTGGGTTTGGAAAGGAAGAGAAGAGATGTCTGAGGAAGATCCTTTTCTTTCAGCTTATGCTGTTTCCTAGAGTTTTGTTGAGACAAGAAGAAAAACTCAGAGAACATAAAATCAGCTTTTAAAATTTTGTGCTGTGGTCTTCACAAAGGTTCCTGTTACAACAAAGTACAGTAGAACTCACTCCAAGCCCTGCTCAAAGAGATTTGTTTGTTTCACAACTACAGCTCATTGCCAAATTACAGGATCTGTTAATTACAGGGTCTGATACAGTATCAAATACTGTATCAGTCACTATAGGCTCTGAGAATCACATGCAGTCTTCAATCCATTAAATTATCGATTTTAAAAAAAATTAATTGAATTTATAGTCAGTTAATTTTTAAATTAACTGAACAGATTTAAAGAGGTACTAAGGAGGGGGAAAAATCATGGGGAGGGAAACATCAGAATTTCCCAGGCAGTTATTGCAAGAAATTGCTACCAACTGTGACAACAACAAAAATTCTTGATTGACTTTTAAAGTTTTTTCCTGGCATTCTGGTACTTTCACTCAGCCTGGGTGCCCTGGAGAGGGAACAGGGAATGTTGACCTCTACCCCTGGATGATACCAGAACCTCAGGGCTGATACTGCTGAGTGGCTTCCTCAGTTTACTCCTGCGTACTGTGAAAGTATTTTCCTATTTTTTCTGTGTGCCAGCGTAAAAAAGGACAGCTTCTGGGTCTGGTAATGGTGCCTCTAGTACCCAGCCTTTCAAAGCTCACCTGGAACCTGGGGGTGGATGAAAGAATGAGAAGACTGAAGCTGAGTGGGCTGCCCAGCGTCTCTGCTGGCATTTTGCTAAACAGAGAGGGAAGGCTGTGTGCTTAGCTCTCCCCAGAGGGAGGGCGAGAAGGGTGTCGTGATGGTCAGTCTAGCTGTCAGAACCGATTCTGGTGTCTTGGGCTGATAACAGTGTTGTGGATTCTGATTCTGAATCCCCTTGAGTCCAGCAGACACATACATACCCCTGAGATGGGGCTGCACAACAGGCTGTCTCAGCCTTGGCACGCTCGGTGTCTCGGGCTGGGTAATTCTCTGTTGTGGAGACTGTCCCGTGCCTTGTAGGATGTTTGGCAGCATCCCTTCGCCTACCTACTAGATGCCAGGGGCACTCTTCTCCCCCTCCTCCCTCCCCGAGTTGTGACAGAAATGTCTGTAAACGTCAAATGGTCCTTGGAAAGGAGAAGATTGCCCCGGTTGAGAAGAGCATGCTCTAAAGTAATGAGCCTCAGCTCTGCTGTCTGCACCTGTCCAGCCACTACTTGGCTCCCACGCAGCCTTGGATCCTGCAGCCCAAAAGGAAGAAGGGAGGGGAGGGGCCGGGCTTTGCCGGAGCGTCCTGGGTGATTTCTGTGTGTTCCTTGTACCATCTTCCTAATGGTGTTCTCAAATCTCTTAAATTCCAAAGAGGTTGAATAATCAATGTTAGGCAAAAGAGCAAGACATTTTTTAACACACTGTTTAAAATAAAATTTTATGCCTTAACTATAGGCTATTGATGTGATGTGTGTGTGTCACTGGGACAGATGGGGATTCTCCATGGTGCCTCTGCTGCTGAGCCTCCGTTTCCTGAGCATATTCCCCTTTTACCCTCCTGCTGCCAGCAGGAGATGGGATCTGATGGTGAGAACACCTGCCTGCCGGTGCATTCCGGCCCTCAGGATGAGAGGCCTGCAGCACTGCTGTCCTTGCACCTGGCTCTGGGGCCTTCCCTTCATCCTCACTCTCTCAACACCATGCCGAGAAGAAGAAAGTCTGCCTATGAGGAGTTATGTACAAGGCCCAAGCTTCACAAGAACACTGCTGTTAATGCGTAGAGCCAGGCTAGGTGTGGTGGTTCACGCCTGTAATCCCAGCACTTTGGGAGGTCAAGGTGGCAGACCACCTGAGGTCAGGAGTTCGAGACCAGCCGGGCCAACATGGTGAAACCCCATCTCTACTAAAAATACAAAAATTTAGCCAGGTGTGATGGGGTGTGCCTGTAATCCCAGCTATTGGGAGGCTGAGGCAGGAGAATTGCTTGAACCTGGGAGGCGGAGGTTGAAGTGAGCCAAGATCCCACCATTACACTCCAGCATAAGCAACAAGGGTGAAACTCCATCTCAAAAAAAAAAAAAAAAAAAAAAAAAAAAAAATGGGCAGAGCCAAGTGAGCAGGACAACACAGACCAGCAAAGGAAAACTGAGACTGTCCACACTTGATTTGGAAAAGATACTCACGCCCTAGGTTATTGCTGGTTAATTGAGACTTACTTCTAGCTCCCACAGTCCTGCTTGCCAGATCTTCCACTTGTTGCTACAGTCATAATGTTCGCTTTGGGTCTGTCACGTGAACTTAGGGCTTCAGGAATAAGAATGGAAGTTCTTCCTCACAAAATGTTTTAGACAGTGTTTTGATGTACATTTTAATGTGTGGTACTTAGAAAAAGGGTTTTCTAATTATAATAATGGCATAAATAGAAACAGGAGTGTAAATGTTCAAGATTTTAGAAGCAGTGATTTCAGAGAAATCACTGAAGGTTAATGCTACCAAAGTGAATTTTATAATTTGTAATCAACCAAATATACGGCCAGGTGTGGTGGCTCATGCCTATAATCCCAGCACTTTGGAAAGCCAAGGTGGGAGGATCACTTGAGGCCATGAGTTCGGGACCAGCGTAGACAACATAGCAAGACCCTATCTCACACACACACACAAAAAAAATAGCCAGGTGTGGTGGTGTGTGCCTGTAGTCCTAGCTTCTTGGGAGGCTAAGTTTGAGGCTGTGGTGAACTGTGATCACACCCATGGATGACAGAGTGAGGCCCTGTCTCAATAATCATATCATCACCATCGTCATCCAATTATAGGGTCCTGATATTGAGAGCTCAAAACTCCCCCCTGCCATTTTTCAACTGTGTTACCTAGGGCTTGCTTCCTAACCTTTCACCATCATCATCCAAGTATAGAGTCCTGAAACTGAGCAGCTCAAAATTACTTTTCCGCTGTATTACCTAAGGCTTGCTTCCTAATCTTTCTTAGCCTCAGTTGCGTCATCTATAAATGGGGAGTGCAATAGCACAGAAGGCTGATGTGAAGATTAAAGAAATATGATGCAACATAAGGTGCCTGGCACAGAAATGGTAGTTTTTAAACTACACCATCTTCCTATTTAGAAAGAACTGGTTCTCAGGTATGTTACTTAAAAATAGTGACACCAATAACCTAAAAACTCAGTGCTACCATTTCTGCTCAGCACTAGAGTAACTGGTGTTGAAATTGTACAGATGGCTATTTTTATCATTTCTGAGATGAATTCCCAATCAACACAGCAGAAAAAAGGAAATACCTCACCAAAGATTTCTGAAAGTCAAATGATATAAAACGTAAACATTATATATGTCTGTTTCCTTTTATGCCAGAATTAATGTGACAGATTTATGCTGAAAGTGGAATATAAAAACTTTTGCATAATCTGTATTTAGGCCAAAACCACCTTTGCTACTTAAGAACTTCCAATGGGCCAGTGAGGACGCTGCAGGTGGCAGAAATGTCCATGGGTGTAACACCTACAAGCACGGTACTCACAGGACTGACTGTTACACCAAAAAGGTCTCTTGGAGGAAAAGTAATGCAGCATGCAAAGAAGCTGTTGTCCAATTATTCAAGCCAAGCCTACAGCAGTAGCCGCAGATCTGTCGGTTATTTCCGGTTAAGGCAGAACGTTAGACTTAAAGCAATAGTTACTTTTTTCTCCACTTAGATAATGTCAATAACCTTTATAAAGCTGGAATTATATAGTCGAAGAAAAAACAATTGTGGTAAAACATACATAAAACTTACCGCTTAAGCCAGCTTTAGGTGTATAGTTCAGTGGCATTAAGTACAGTCACAGTGTTATGCAGCCATCTTCAACATCCAGCTCCAGGACTTTTTCATTCTCCCCAGACTGAAACTCTGTCCCCATGAAACACCAGCTTCCGATTCCCCCTTCCACCAGCCCCCAACAAAACCCATTCTATTTTTTGTCTCTGTAAGTTTGACTCCTCTAGGTACCTTATTATGTAAGTGGAATCACACAGTATTTGTCATTTTGTGACTGGCTTACCTCCCTCAGCAGTGTGCTCCTCCAGGTTCATCCATGTAGTAGCATGTGACAAATTTCGTTCCTTGTTCAGGCTAAAAAATGTTCCATTGTATGCACAGACATTTTGCTTATCCCTGTATATGTTTTGGACACTTAGACTGCTTCCACCCCTTTGGCTAGTGTCAATAGTGCTGCTGTCGACATGAGTATAAAAACATTTCTTCTTGCTGGGCGTGGTGGCTCTCGTCTGTAATCCTAGCATTCTGGGAGGCCAAGGAGGGCGGATCACCTGAGGTCGGGAGTTCGAGACCAGCCTGACCCACATGGAGAAACCCCTTCTCTACTAAAAATACAAAATTCGCTGGGCATGGTGGCATATACCTGTAATCCCAGCTACTCGGGAGGCTGAGGGAAGGGAATTGCTTGAACCTGGGAGGCAGAGGTTGTGGTGAGACAAGATCACGCCACTGTACTCCAGCCTGGGCAACTGCAAAACTCCGTCTCAAAAAAAAAAAAAAAAATTCTTCTTGTACACCCTGTCTTAAATTCTTTTGGGGTATATACCCAGGAATGGAAAAGCTGGATTTTTTTTGTTTTTGTTCTTTTTGTTTTTTTTAACCAACATGAACCAGACAGGAAAAAGTTGGATTTTTTTGAGGAACCGCAGTACTGTTCATCACAGTGGCTGCACCATTTTCCATTCCCAACAGCACTATACAAGAGCTTCAATTTCTCTACATCTTCACCAACACTAATTTCTGGGGGTTTTGCTAGTAGCCATCCTAATGGGTGTGAAGTGGTATAAAGAAAATAGATCTCTGCTTTCTTAACTTAGTAAGAAAATAAAATAAAATAAATTTTAAAAAGAAAAGAAAATAGATCCCATCATCTCTGAAAAGCAAATGCACTTCCACTTTTAGCAGCCGGTCTACAGCCGGAGCCTCCCCAGCCCCGCGGCGCCCCGCCTGGACGCCCACCCAGCGGGGGCGCTATGGCTGGCGGCCTCGCCTCCTGGAAAGGCCATGGTCGATGCAGCGACTGGCGGAGGCGGGGTAGCGCCGACTGGGACACCCATCCCGGGACCCAGTGCCAGCATCGAGAAGGGAGCGTCTGCGTGAGTGCCTGCCCTTCCAAGATTGCGGAGTTTCGGTCCCCTAGGGGCCAGCATCGGCGGGGCGGAGCTTCGGGACGGGGCGGGCCGAGGATGGAGCGACAGGGTGGGCGGGGCGGCGGAAGCCGGGGGCGTGGCGTCGGGGCGGGGAGGATGCAGGGAGAGGCAGGTCATCGAGGAGGGGGCGTGGCTCCTGGGAGGAGCTGGCCGGCGACCGCGCTTGGTTTCAGTGCATGCCCCCTCCTGGCAGCGATGACATCTTTGACTATGGTGTCTGTGCTGGGCCGCCCGGGCGTGCTGCGGCTGCGGCTGCTGCTCTCGGCGCTGAAGCCCGGTATCCTCGTCTCACAGGCCGGACCCGCGGCCACGTTCGGGTAATGGCGGCCACCACACCCTGGGTATCCTCAGCATCGGCGCGCTCGAAGGTCGGCGGGAGGGGCGCGCGCCGGCCGTAGGTGTTCCAGGTGCGCGGGTAGGGGGTGTAGGCGCGGCCTGGCATCCCTGTCGCCCTTTGTGCCGCGAGACCCCGATCTTGGGGGCCAGCAGCGCTTGGTGCGCGAACCCCTCGGTCGTGCATGCGCCTCGGTCAGCCTCAGTTCAAGGAGCCGTGGAGGGTTTGGGCCGTGGAGTGCAAACCCTTCAGTGTGCAGACCAGAGAGACCCAGGGAGATTTATTTGCATAGCATAGACTCGTCCGTGACGGAGCACAGATTAGAATCCCAGGGCCCTTATTAGTCCATTGCTCCATCCATACTCCACACTGTAAGGCATGAGGACAATAATCTTGTCTTCCTCTTATGTCAAAAATTAACGTGAGAATGTCTGTGCCCAGTAGCTTTCCAGTACCGCCGAGGCTTTAATCGCGGGTACAGAGAGCCCTAAGTCTTCTCTTTGCTTGCTGATCTCGAACCTTAATGTGCAAAAGAATCACGTTGGGAACTGAAAATTCAGAGTCCTGGGCCTCACTCTCAGGATCTGGTCTACACGCGGAGATGCCCAGAAATCTGCTTTATTCTCTTTTGTCCTTCCACCTCTCCCCCCATTTCAGGTAAAACAATAACAAAAAACTGGATTAATTTCTGACAAGAGATGCTGTACAGAAATGTGGATAGAGCAGCATGAAGCTTGTTTTACTTTATTCAGTACATATATCTTTACACACATGCAAACACACATGTACAGTGAATGTACACAGTGCTTGTGCGCAGTGGACTGTTGTTGGGCCACATCCATTAATGACTAGGGGGAAAGTCAATACTAGATAGGTACATAGCGTTTAGAACTTTAGTTGCTCTAACGTAGAAACATCTAGTTTGAAAACTTGATTTACAAGGAGAAGAGGGCAAATCTGACCAGCTTTAAAAATTTCATATTGCAGGCCGGGCGCGGTGGCTCACGCCTATAATCCCAGCACTTTGGGAGGCCGAGACGGATGTATCACGAGGTCAAGAGATCGAGACCATCCTGGTCAACATAGTGAAACCCCGTCTCTACTAAAAATACAAAAATTAACTGGGCATGGTGGCTCACTTCTGTAGTCCCAGCTACTCGGGAGGCTGAGGCAGGGGAATTGCTTGAACCCAGGAGACAGAGGTTGCGGTGAGCCGAGGTCGCGCCATTGCACTCCAGCCTGGGTAACAAGAGTGAAACTCTGTCTCAAAAAAAAAAAAAATCATATTGCAATTGACTAGCTCCTTTTTATTAGAATTATTATAAGATGGTCAGGGCTATTTTGATAGATGAAAAACATGTCAATAGCTACAGCTGTATAAATTAACAGTGAAAAATGATCATTTTGTGAGAAGTAGTGAAAGTTCCTCTTCAAAGTTTCCTTTCTTGTTAAAGAATAATAAATGTTAGAAATAATAGTCTCTTGTAAAGGCTAACTTTCTTCAAAGCTTTCTCCCTTTTTGCTATAGCTCTTTGTTAGGCCCTATCCTATGTAGCTGTTAAACATGTTCACAGGCACATAGTACATTCACATAGTACAATTCTATGTTCTTGTACTTTAACCAAGATATCTGTGCTGAACGTGCTCACAGGCGTGTTCCAGCTCGCAGCCTATGCCCCTTCCTTACTTGGACTTCTTTCTTTTTGTTCTCCATTGCTGGCTTGCTCTATTGCCCAAGTTGGAGTGCAGTGGGGCAATCTCAGCTCACTGCAACCTCCGCCTCACAGGTTTTAAGTGTTTTTTGTTCCTCAGCCTTCTGAGTAGCTGGGATTACAGGCACCTGCCACCATGCCTGGCTAATTTTTGTATTTTTAGTAGAGACAGGGTTTCACCGTGTTGGCCAAACTGGTCTTGAACTCCTGACTTCAAGTATCCACCCGCCTTGACCTCCCAAAGTGCTGGGATCACAGTCATGAACCACGGTGCTTGGCCTACCGATATAGTTTTGATAGGTTATTTAATGATTCAGGAAGGCCCCGTCCAACTAGTTACATTGCAGATTATTCTTCCTAAAATATCTCTGAAAAAAACACATTCCTCTGGATTTTGTACTACCGTTTTATAAATGCAGCTGCAAATTGATATGACATAATCTGGAAAAACAAGCAGTGAATTTGGTTAATCCTGAAACGAGGCTGTAGCTCAATGTCAGTAGGTAAAAGCATTCCTGTAAAAACTGCTTCAGAACAGCCAGTGCCCAATCTACAGTTGACTTGGTGTTCCAAAAACTTGTTTGTAAATCTCTTATTTGGAACTTTCACCCTTATTTCATAATCTGTAAGGTGATTTATTCCTGGGTCAAGCTTAAAAAAAAAAAAAAGCCTTTTCTATCTGAAATTGTATGTTATGTGTAGTTATAAATGTTAATGATTCACATAACCTAACAATCTGCCTAAAAAATATTTTCTAAGTTCAACCTTGGGATGCCCTGCCAGAGAATCAGAGACTGCCCTGCTGACGCCTGCCACCACGCTGTGTCTGGCAGTCAGAGTGTGGCCCCAGTGCCTGAGCCCTCTTAGGACCCTGTTCAGCCATGAGGTTAGAGAGGAACCATGGCCTCTGGAGTTCCAGTGGCTGTGTGGCCACTTCCTAGCTATGTGAATGTTGGCAGATTGCTCAACCTCTCTGAGCCTCCTTGCAGGGTTTTTGTGAGGATTTGAAACAATGAATGTAAAAGCCTGGGGATATAATAAATATGAAGTAATTAGTAGGCACAATGGGAATATTTATATAATAGTACAATATATAAGAGATGTAAAAATAAGTCACCAAGATTCATGTAAAGTCAAGCCCTGAAGGTAGCAAATACTTTATTGTAGCTAATGGCTACTTTGCAAAACATACACGAAAGAAATAGCTGAATATATAATATTGTATTGACACTTTCAAAGAAAGAGTATGCCTTACTAAGTAGCTCCCTTTTTTTTAACTTTCAGGTTCAGGAGACCATTTGCAGGTTTGTTATATAGGTAAATACATAGTAACTAGTTAGTTACTATGCTTCCTGGGCCTGGGGCAGTGGGGAGAGGAGGCTGTCTGCTTTGTCCTTCTGTGTGTCCATATGTACTCAGTGTTTAGCTCCCACTTAGAACATGCAATATTTGGTTTTCTGTTCCTGTATTAGTTCCCTTAGGATAATGGCCTCCAGCTTCATCTTTGTTCCTGCAAAGGATATTATCTCACTATTGTGTATACTTGTATGGTATTTTATGGTGTATATAAACCACGTTTTCTTTTAAGACAGAGTCTCACTCTGTCACCAGGCTGGAGTGCAGTGGCACGATCTTGGCTCACTGCAACCTCCGCCTCCCAGGTTCAAGCGATTCTCCTGACTCAGCCTCCTGAGTAGCTGGGACTACAGGTGTGTGCCACCACGCCCAGCTAATTTTTTGTATCTTTAGTAGAGACAAGGTTTCACCATATTGGCAATGGTCTTTATCTCTTGACCTCATGATCCGCCTGCCTTGGCTTCCCAAAGTGTTGGGATTACAGGCATGAGCCACCACGCGTGGCCTGAACCCTATGTTTTTATCCAGTGTGCCATCGTTGGGCATTTAGGTCGATTCCATGTTTGCTATTGTGAATACTCACCATTTGTATCTCTAAGCAAAGTGCTGAGGAGCTGAGGCTTTGGGGTCAGACACACAGATGTTTGTCTTGGCTTTGCCCATCACTGGCAGTGTGACAAGCAGATTACCTGATCTCAAGCTCCTCAGTGGTAGAATTAGGTGAAGTATGATGTGCACCTCAGAGCAAAATAAATGGGATAGGTCAAACTCTTACAGAATGGGTGACAGATAGTAACAAAGGTTAGATTTAGTTAAATTATTTGCCCAGCTATTATATTCTGGCCCCCACCACACATAGTAAAGCCTCCTTCAAGAGGAGCAGCTCTACCCCATCAATACCATTGTATTATTCATAACCTCCCTCCCTTTCCCAAAGTTGCCTGTTCAGTCTCCCAGGAAAAGGGACTCCAGGATAAATATAAGGTAGGAAGGCATGCTTCAAAGGGAAGACAGGATTTTTTTTTTTTTTCCTCCAAGAAATTAACTCAGTACAGTCATTCTCATCCTTGGTTGCCTATTGGAATCTCCTTGGGTAATTTTTTAAATGCAGATGCATGGCTCCCACCCAAGATTTTCATGAAGTGCAGCCTGGGCATCAGAGATTTATAAGTTTGCCAGGTTATTCACATTTAACTTTGATCCCTACTGATGTAGAAGGCAGGAAATGCTCTTGTAGAAGGGGTTGTGTGGGCAGCCATGGAGAGCTGTGAGGGTGCAATGAACTTAGTCCCTTCCACCAGCACCCGGGGCTCCTCTGTGCCCTGGCTTCTCTTCCTAGTGCTCTGAATACTCACAGTCCACGCTGTCAGCAGATTATTCATCTGTCTTTTCCTGCTGACCTCCAAGCTAGGTGAAGGCATACCTTTAGCACTTAGCATGAAGCAGTTCAGGAAATAGATGAATGCAAAGCCCAGTACAGTTCAGGTGTCTCTGAAAGCAGATACTAGGGCTCTACCCCAGAGGGCTGGGCTAATATGACATGGCAGCACCTCTGCTGTGATGGACCTATAGTATGTTGATGACAAAGCTCTAAGGATGTTCTCTTTCTCCTCAGCCTAGCTGCAAAACCCGACACCATCTGGCCTCAGCCTTAGCTCACTCTCTGCCTTCAAACTCCTGCAAGGCTGAACAGTGGCTTGTCCCCACCACTGTACCTTTTTCCTGGGCCTGTGATCATGCTGTTTCTTCTTCCAGGAATGCCTTCCCACCACATTCTTTTTTCAGAATTTTACTCATATTTGGAAGTCCATCTTAAATGATACTTTTTTTCTCTTTTCAGATACCTCTACCCACCCCAATATGATCTGTTTTTCTCCTCTAAAGCCACCTTCTAGGTTTTCTACCTAGAGATTTACAAAATCCTTCCCTGACATTGGGTTCCCAGTATGCTGAACTCCAAACTACCCGGTTTTGTTTCTATATATATTTTTTAGGCAACCAAAAGAATATGAAATAGTGAAAAATATTTAAAAAGAAATTTGGGCCGGGCGTGCTGGCTCATGCCTATAATCTCAGCACTTTGGGAGGCCAAGGCAGGTGAATCACCTGAGGTTGGGAGTTCAAGACCAGCCTGACCAACATGGAGAAACCCCATGTCTACTAAGAATACAAAATTAGCAGGGCATGGTGGTGCATGCCTGCAATCCCAGCTGAGGGAGGCTGAGGCAGGAGAATTGCTTGAACCCGGGAGGTGGAGATTGCAGTGAGCCAAGATGGTGCCATGGCACTCCAGCCTGGGCAACAAGAGTGAAAATCCGTCTCAAAAAAAAAAAATTTTTTTGGAATAGGAAATCAAAATGTAGATGTCTCAGAGTGCAGAGAGAAGTGAGAGGTGTTTTGCAGAAGAGACTTGGGAATGATGATGGAAGCTGAAGGAGAGAAGCCTGAGTGAGCCAGTGCCCTGGACCAGCTTAGAGAGCACAAGGCAGCAGCACCCAGTCCTGAAAACTGACTGGCTTTGGATGGTGAGAAAGACAGGAGGGGGCTTCTCAGTGTACCTGAAGCCTCACAGTACAAAAGGCTTTTACAAGCATGTCTCAGCACTTAAGGGAAGGGAGCCTGTAACAGATGTCTAGGAAAGGAGAAATAAAGGGAAGCCATGTACTGTGTACACAGTTACTACCAAGCTGGGTAAATGCTGCCCATCTGTATTTAGGGAGTTGCCTCATTTAATGCAGTAGACACAGGAAATACTATTTTGAGCTTTTATTTCATCCAGGGGCCTCAAGCTCTTCTTGTCCTCAGTCATAACTCGGCTTTCCTGGCAGGTTGCAGAGCAAATCCTCTTGTGTCTTTATCGTTTCTCCCACTAGATTGTGAGCAGAGCAGCAGCACCAATAAGCAAAGACTGAAAAGAGTCTTTATGAGTGGAGTACATGTATTTGCTTCTTGATCCTAAGCTATCATAACTGTAAAAATGAATTCCTCAGAGGAACAGGGCAGTCATCATAATAAGCAAATGGCAGGGTCAGTATTGCCATTGGTTAGTGGCTTCACTGATGCCTTTTTAATCATACTTCTGTAATAAGGAGCTTATAGTTAGGTCAGGCCTTATTACTACCCAATTCTGTCTTTTACTTTTCCAGAAATTGTGTTAAGATGCAATGTACCTGTATTCAACACATTTGTTTCCACATTTGTTTCTTACTTGAGGTTGGCAAGTAATATGAAATCAAAGGAGAAAACAGGATCTCATTTTTTCAAAAGGGCTATGTTTCAGTTATCATTTTGACCAAGGGCAGAGGTAGGGGTAGGGAGTATGTAAAAGAAAAAGGGCCAGGCGCAGTGGCTTATGCTTGTAATCCCAGCACTTGGGGAGGCCAAGGCAGGCGGATCACCAGAGGTCAGGAGTTTGAGATCAGCCTGGCCAACATGGCGAAACCCCATCTACTAAAAATACAAAAATTAGCCGAGCGTGGTGGCGGATGCCTATAATCCCAGCTACTCGAGAGGCTGAGGCAGGATAATTGCTTGAACCCGGGAGGCGGAGGTTGTAGTGAGCCGAGATCACACCACTCAACTCCAGCCTGGGCGATAAGAGCGAGACTCCATGTCAAAAAAAAAAAAAAGAAAGAAAGAAAAGAAAAAGGAGGTGGTGGTTGATTTCATTGTGTCAGTACTCTACCTGGAGAAGAGGAGTGCCTCCTTCTGGCATCTGCCCTGGCATGCCATCATGTCCCTCCAGTGCTTCACTCAGTCATGGATCTGATAAGCTGTGGGCAGGCTGGTGGAGCCTGGTCCAGGTATGGGGGCCGTCTATGTGCCCGATTGGTGTATATTCCAGGACAGTCTGTTAGGAGTTTCCAGAAGAGCAGCTGAGGAGAGATTAATCAGAACACCTGTACAGCACACCTAATTCAGGCAGGACAGACACCGGCATTATGTCTGTCCTGAGGCCTTGTCCTGTGCTAAGCATGGTCCAGTTAGATGCAGGATCCTAGGAGGTCTTAGGCCAAGGCAGGTCAGTGGCTGGAAGGAGGGCTCTTGACATGGAGGCTTATGGACATGGCTACTTAGCAGTCAACACAGAAATGTTTTAACAACTTAAAAACCAGTAGACCTTGTCAGTGCGGATGGACACTCTTGACTGTGGGCCTCCTGCAGCAAGCCAGACAACACAGGATACCCTAGAGCTAAAGGACAACCCAGAGACCCTGGACCAGCCTTCTCTTTGGGAATGTCACTAAGGCTGCTGAATGTCTGGGTAGCTCCTCTGGGCCTGCTGGGGTGCAGACAAGTGACTCCAGGGTCTTTGCCCCTGATGTCCACCCTCACTGCACTGCACTGAGCCCCGTGCCAGCCTGCACTTGAGTGCCCTTGGCTTCCAGCTCACCAGCATGTGCCATGAAACCTCTGTGGCCATTAATTCAGCAAGCCTCACAGGGCTTTCGTAGGGTTACTCCCAGGTTGGGCACGATAGCATATTCAAGCATAAGGGCACAGTTCAGATGGGCAGTCTACTAAAGAAATTTCAAATTCATGTCACTGTTCAGAATTGGAAAAATCAGAATAACCCAAGGAGCCTGAGAAGAGTACTGGAGCCGACTCATTCATGTACAAAGACAGTTTTGTCATATTAAATTCATATTGTTAAATGATTTTTTTGGGGGTGGATTTTAAAAATTTTTTGAAATTTTATTTTATTTATTTATATTTTCAGATAGAGTTTTGCTCTTGTTGCCCAGGCTGGAATGTGATGGCGCGATCTTAGCTCACCACAACTTCCACCTCCCGGGTTCAAGCGATTCTCCTGCCTCAGCCTTCTGAGTAGCTGAGATCACAGGCGTGTACCACCATGTCCAGCTATTTTTGTATTTTTAATAGAGATAGGTTTCACCATGTTGGTCAGGCTGGTTTCAAACTCCCGACCCCAGGTCATCCGCCCTCCTCAGCCTCCCAAAGTGCTGGAATTACAGGCATGAGCCACCATGCCTGGCTCAAATTTTTTTTTTTTTTTTTTTTTGGAGACGGAGTTTCGCTCTTGTTACCCAGGCTGGAGTGCAATGGCGCGATCTCGGCTCACCGCAACCTCCGCCTCCTGGATTCAAGCAATTCTCCTGCCTCAGCCTCCTGAGTAGCTGGGATTACAGGCACACACCACCATGCCCAGCTAATTTTTTGTATTTTTAGTAGAGACGGGGTTTCACCTTGTTGACCAGGATGGTCTCGATCTCTCGACCTCGTGATCCACCCGCCTCGGCCTCCCAAAGTGCTGGGATTACAGGCTTGAGCCACCGCGCCCGGCCAAATTTTTTTTTTAATTGACATAATTGTACCTACTTATGGGATATAAAGTTTTGTTTCTATACATGTATACTATAGTGATCAGATCAGTGTAATTAGCATAGCCATCGTCTCAAACATTTATCATTTCTTTGTGTTGGGGCATTCAGTATCTTCCCTCTAGCCATTTGAAACTATTACTGTTAGCTGTAGTCATCCCACAGCAGCATGGAACACTAGCAGTTATTCTTCCTGTCTAACTATAATTTTGAATCACCTAAGAAATGTTCCCCTGTCTCCCCCTCCCACTGTGGGGATGCTTTTTTTCTCTTCTAGCACCTCGATAACCTCCGCCAAAGTGGCTGTGAATGGCGTTCATCTGCATTATCAGCAGACTGGAGAGGGAGATCACGCAGTCCTGCTACTTCCTGGGATGTTGGGTCTGGATGTTTTTTAATGGAACGCTTTTGCATGCTGTAAAATCTGTGATGTACTCACAATACTAGATGACAAATATTGATTATTAATTTTAGTACTTCTATGAAATGTTTTAGTATTTGCTACAATCAAACTTAAATGACTTAGAAAAGTATGTAACTTTCTACTACCATTCAGAATTGAATTTTTTATTCCTTTAGTAAAGTACCCAGTTTTTCCCATGCAAGTACGCTATGAAATCACAGTGGCCCATAATTTGGGAGGGTGACTGGGATCAAGGAAAGGGGTGTGGAAAGAAGGCGTAGATAAAGGAAGATGGTGAGTGGGCAGTCGGTCATCCTAGTTTGCCTGGCATTGGGAGATTTTCCAGGATGTGGGAATTTCAGTGCTAAAACTAGGGTGAATTGATCACTTGTTGTGGTTGATTATATATTCAGTTAAAATGCAAGATAAGAAAGTTTAGCCTGGCACGGTGGCACGTGCCTGTAATCCCAGCTACTAGAGAGGCTGAGGCTGGAGGATCACTTGAGCCCAGGAGTTCTGGGCTGTAGTGCACTATGCCGATCGGGTGTCTGTACTAAGTTCGGCATCAATACGGTGACCTCCTGGGAGCAGGGGACCACCAGGTTGCCTAAGGAGGGGTGAACTGGCCTAGGTCGGAAACGGAGCAGGTCACAACTCCTGTGCTGATCAGTAGTGGGATCACGCCTGTGAATAGCCAGTGCACTCCAGCCTGGGCAACATAGCAAGACCCCGTCTCTTAAAAAATAAAAAATAAAAAATAATTTTTATAAAAAAATAAAAAAGAGACCAGGCGTGGTGGCTCATACCTGTAATCCAAGCACTTTGGAGGCCAAGGCGGGCAGAATACCTTGGGAGGGAGTTCAAGACCAGCCTGACCAACATGGTGAAACCCCATCTTTAACAAAAAAAAAAGGAAAGAAAGAAACTTAGTTTAAATCTTTGTAGAAATCAGAGTTAGATTGGCATATTACCCTCTCTCAATGTATGGGCCATAATAAAGCCTAGTGGATCCCAATCCCAGAACTGTACTGTAGTTCAGATGTAGAAAGTTCAAGGGAAAAATTTCCAGTGATTCTAGGACATTCCAAATCTGGTTTTAAGGGTGTTAGTATTGTTGCTTTATTTTTGATTTAGTTAAATAATTGTAATATTTAGACTCAGTATTCATGGAGGATTGTTTCCAGGAAGGCCTCAGATCCCAAAATCTGAGGATCCTCAAGTCCCTTATATAAAATAGCGCAGTATTTGCATGTAAGCTACACATGTCCTCCGTTATACTCTACATCATCTCTAGATTACTTACCATATCTACTACAATGTAGACGCTATGTAAATAATTGTTATCTCATATTGTTTAGGGAATAATGACAAGGAAAAAAGTCTGTATGGGTTCAGTACAGACCCAACCATCTATTTTTTTCCCCAAATATTTTGTCCTGAGGTTGGTTGAATCCACAGATGTAGAACCCACAGATAGGAAGGCTGATGGCACCCACTTGTTTGTGATTTGCTTCTTTCTGTAAGTGAAGTGCTAAAAAGGTTCCGCTTGACTGAGCCTCAGCTGGTCATGACACCGTTATAGCTAGTGAGGCACGTTGTCTAAATGGTGTTTAGTACCTTGTTTTCCTTAAGCTGATGAACGAGGACATTGACTTTCATGACTGATGTGGAGCTAAAGTTATCTGTAAAAACATGTCCCATCTTAGCTTTTCATTATTTCAGTATTGCAGTCATTGTTCAGGTATAAAAAAACTTAACAATTGCCTTTTTTTTTTTGAGAGGGAGTCTCACTCCATTGCCCAGGCTGGTGTGTAGTGGCACAATCTTGGCTCACTGCAACCTCCATCTCCCAGGTTCAAGCGATTCTTCTTCCTCAGCCTCCCAAGTAGCTGAGATTACAGGTGTGCACCACCAGGCCCAGCTAATTTTGTATTTTTAGTAGAGACAAGGTTTCAACATGTTGCCCAGGCTGGTCTCGAACTCCTGACCTCGGGTGATCCACCTGCCTCAGCTTCCCAAAGTGCTGGGATTACAGGCATGAGCCACTGCACCTGTCCTCAATTTACTTTTTGTTTATGTAAAATATTAGCATGATTCCAACATAAAAAATAGTGGTCTAGTGGAGATATGCTCTCCCGTCCCGTCCTCAGTACCCAGTTCCCCTCCCCACAGGCTTCTCAGGTGTCACATGCTGATAACTATGTTCATACATTCCTGAAACATTTTTTAAAGTTTTATATTCTTGGCACTGGTCTTCAAATGTATACATGTGGGCCAGGGAGGAAATGCCTTTTTGTTTCTGAAATTGGTAGTTTAGACTGTTCTTTTTCCAATCTTCTCACCTCCTGCCCCTCCTTCAGGGTATTTTCCTCAAGGGAACCCATCCAGGTCAGAGGCAGAAGAGAAGCCTCATGGGTCATAGCAGCAGATGTTGGCTGGAGATCCATTCATTTGGTTTTGGCTTGAATTTTCTGAATGATTTGCTTGATCTTGAGAAAGATATATCTTGCCAGGAAGAATGACAGGCCTTGACAATGTTAAATGATCCTGCACCACCTTGAAAGACATTTTCTAATATAGTTTGTCAGGCAAAGTGTTTAGTAGTCATTTGTGGCCTCAGGTAGAAGTCCTCAGAAATCAGCAGACTTCACTGATAAAATGCTGACTTGCCCCTGGACTGGGCTCTGTGAGAATGGCCGTCTGCGCGTGCACAGTGGGAGTGAACATGCCACACCGACAGTGACCACATGGTGCGCTGTGGAGTAAACATCGAGCTCCCTGCAGGCCCACTGGTAGTTCAGCTTGTTAGCCTAGGCTGTTTCATACTGTTCTGATGAAACAAACTGATTTGGTTTCTTTCCTCCCTGCCCCTTCTGCATTTCACTGTTTGTTTAGTTTTTCTGGTTTTTAATTATAACCACAAAATAAAATCTTCAGGTTATTCACCTTAGCTTAGTAAAAAAATAATAATAATAAATAATTTAATCTGAAATTTTAGAATTCTATTTTGAATAACTTGGACCAAATCTCATAAATTTGTTTGCAGATATTATAGAGATCCTGCTCATGTGTAAGTCATTGTTTTAAGAAGAAAAGATAACCCAGAAGCATATTATGTTTGTAAATTAATTTTTTTTTTTTTTTTTTTTTTTTTTTTTTTGGAGATGGAGTCTTGCTCTGTCACCAGGCTGGAGTACAGTGGCACAATCTCGGCTCACTGCAAACTCCGCCTCCTGGGTTCAAGTGATTCTCCTGCATCAGCCTCCCGAGTAGCTGGAACTGCAAGTGTGCACCACCATGCCCAGTTAATTTTTGCATTTTTAGTAGAGACGGGAGTTTCACCATGTTGGCCAGGATGGTCTCCATCTTTTGACCTTGTGATCCGCCCACCTCAGCCTCCCAAAGTGTTGGGATTACAGGCGTGAGCCACCGCACTCAGCCAGTTAATTTCTATACAGTTTCATTAATTATTTTCTTTAGAAAAGGAGGATTAAGCCAAAGAGGTTTTAAAAGTGCTGAAATAATACAGAAGCAAAGACAGACTCAGGGCCTCTGTCCTTCTCAAAATAGCCACCAGGGGGAGGTTGGAGGCAGGCCTGAACTCCACCAGGAAAGGAAGCCGGCCTTTCTTTGAGTAGATGGATGACGTCATTGCAAGGCTGCTTTCCTGATGACATTCTTACCGCTTTTGAGTGAAACTAGCTACTTTGTTTTAAGATTGTTATTGCTTCTATTTTCACTGTAATGTGTTTGATAGGTGAAAGCGTTCATCTGAGGGTAACCAAGTGACTGTTTTTAGGAAGTGGAGAGACTGATTTTGGACCTCAGCTCAAGAACCTCAATAAGAAGCTCTTTACAGTGGTTGCCTGGGATCCTCGAGGCTATGGACATTCCAAGCCTCCAGACCGCGATTTCCCAGTAGACTTTTTTGAAAGGGATGCAAAAGATGCTGTTGATTTGATGAAGGTGGGTCTTTTAGGGAAGGGATAGGGGAGGGAGGGTGGCTGCGCCTATCTTCATTTATTTTGTTTAATTTTTGTTATTTCTTTCTACAAAATAATGCCATGTGATTGTATGGAAGACTCAAAGAGTTCAAATAGGTATAAAGAAGAAAATGGAAATAGCCCACAGTCCAGCTGTCTGGAGACAATGAAGTCTTGGAGGCTGTGCTTTCTGGCCAGTCTTCTTACCTCAAAAATGCAGTTTCATACTGATGGCATCCTATGACACCTGACGTTTTTCCAACTTGCTACTGTTACTGAATAATTTTTCAAGGAAATACTTTCATGTCAATAAATATGCATTTGTATCAGTTGTATGATAAACACATATTATTCTGTTGTATGGATGTATATCTCTTATTTCACCAATTTTCTAATAGTAGACAATTAATTTTTAAGTTGCCTTTTTCTGCTGTCGTAAATAGCAGGCAGTGAAGATTCTGTTGCTCATGGCCATTTTCATTTTTATTTTTTTTCCCCTATAAACAGTATTATCGTGGACATCCTGCACTGAGCTCCTGACGCACATATAGGAGAGTTTCATACAAATTTGGGAGACAATTTGCTAGGTGATAGAAATTCTAGATGTTCATTTTACAGGATAGTACCACAGTAGTTACACCAATTTATGTTCCCAGCAGCAAATATCTTAGACTGATATTAATTCTTTACCTTTAATTTCCCAATCATTCTGTGCTTCCTTCTTGGCAGCCTCTCTAAGATGTAATCTTTGTCCATTTTCCCTGCCAAACACATGTCCAGACCTTGGCTGATTGACCCGTGGACTCACATAACCTCCCCATGGTCCTGTTCTCTGACAGCCCGCCTCTTGCCAGTTCTTCTCACAGTTGCTTTACCAGATGCGCTGCTTCACTTCATCCAGCAGAGTTCAGGGTTCCCTCTCTGATCTGTGGAACTGTTCTCAAGTCCTTGCTCAGGCATGCATATGCACATACGCACATGCACACACACACGCTGTATTTGTCATATCTAAGTAGTTGGTCTCTACTGATTCTAGTTCCTTGAGATTTTTATCCAACCAGATGACGTAGTTCCTTCATAATTCAAACCCATACCATATACTCAGGTTTTTGTGACGGTTTCCACTAGAACTAATTAAGAGAAAACATCATCAAATGATGGACTCTGGGATTTTTCTTTCCTGACTAATTGATACTCCAGGCCTGTACCTGTATTGATTCTGATCATTAATGACTCAATTTATTTTAACAGAGAGGAGCAGTAACCTGTGCTGTGCATTTTGTCGTATGATCACAGGCGCTGAAGTTTAAGAAGGTTTCTCTGCTGGGGTGGAGTGATGGGGGCATAACCGCACTCATTGCTGCTGCAAAATATCCATCTTACATCCACAAGATGGTGATCTGGGGCGCCAACGCCTACGTCACTGATGAAGACAGCATGATTTACGAGGGTAGGTTCTGCAAACGGGAGATGCTGGGACAGCAGCTCCTTCCCCTCTCCGTGTCTCATCTCCTATTGTGATATATGTTGACAAGTCGTACGTATCTCATCTGCTTCTAGTTCTCAACTCTCAGGTAGGAAGAATAAGAGTTATCAGAAAAGTAATGCAATTTAACCAGTCTGAGTTTTAAAGCTTTCTATTTCCAGGAGTGAAACTTCCATGGCTTAGGAAAAGGCTGAGTAAAATCAGTATTTCCATTTACTGCTATTGATAATGAACTTCAAGGAAGAAGGGGGTGGTGTGAACTCTTTCAGGAGCGCAGCCCTCTCCTCTCTGACATCTTTCTACTTCCCCTCCTGGCTGCTCCTTCTTTCTCATCCCCCATTCTCTCCTAACTTGTGTCAAGATGGCTCTGGCCGGCCAGTCCGCTGGAGACAGTGCCTTCATGTAACCAAGCCTCCCCTTGCACCCCCAACACTCCTCCTCCTGGCTCCTTGGTCATGCTACAGCATTTGAGAACATGCTCATGATATATGTAGCACCGATCACACCCCACTTCTTGAAGCTTTCTTTGTCTGGAAGTTCTCGCCACTGTGTTCTCCCAATTTTGCATCCTCTCTCGGGCTGTTTGCTGGCTGACACGTGTCTGCTCCCGTATGTGGGTCACAGTGTTGGGGTCCTCCAGGCGTCACCCTTGGTGCTCTGCTTCCCCTCTTGCCCTCACACCTGAGTAGCTTCACTCAACTCCCCACTCCACTAAACTCACAAACCCCACATATTTGACTGTTGTTTGTTTGTTTGTTTGTTTTTGTTTTAAGAGGCAAGTTCTCACTGGGCATGGTGGCTTACACCTGTAATCCCAGCACTTTGGGAGGCCAAGGCAGGAGGATCACTTGAGCCCAGGAGTTCAAGACCAGCCTTGGCAACATAACAAGATCCCGTGTCTACAAAAAAATGCAAAAATTAGCCAAGCATGGTGGCATGTGCCTGTAGTCCTAGCCACTTGGGAAGCTGAGGTGGGATGATCACCTGAGCCAGGGAGGTTGAAGCTACAGTGATCTGTGATTGCACCACTGCACTGTAGCCTGCGTGACAGAGGCGAGACCCTGTCCCAATTAAAAAAAAAAAAAAAAAAAGAAAAGAAAAAGACAAGTTCTCGCTGTGTTGCATTATTCAACTTTTTATTCAATTTTCTTATCCGGTTGTCTCACCAGATACTTTAAATTCAATCTGTCTAATACTGAATTCACGATCTTCCCTCTAGGCCTGCCCCTTCTGCTAAATTTCTTATCTTTACAAATAATACTCATTCGAATTATACGATTTCTTCCACAAAATAATATTTTCATTACTATTTATTGAGTGCCTGCCATAAGCTAAAGTCCTTAATGACATAATACCCCATAAGGTCTCTGATACTCGGCCTGCTTCTCAGATGAAAAACCGGGGCTCACAGAAATAAGGAATCCTTCCAGACCGCATCCCCCACACTGCACTCTGCAGCCCACTCTGCTCCTCTGCCGGGCTCTGGGCGGACCCATCTCGCCCTCCCCTTCTCTCCCTCCCACCAGACTCCCGCCAGCCTCGTTGGTCCCACCTGGGCTGATTCCTTGCCTTTCCAACCCGTCCAGGTCCTTATCTCGTATCAGTAGGCCTTCCGTGCTGCTCTAATAGCAATTCAGCAAGATGTGAATCTCATGGCATCTTACTTTAAGCCTTTCAGGATGCCCCACAATTTTCCTGATAAAGTTCGGGCTCCTCTGCTTTGCTCATGGAGTGAGTGCCCCCAGCCTCTGCCTCTCCAGGTCCCCTCCTCCCACTTTCGCCTCCCAGCCACCAGTGTCCAGCCATCCAAGACCACCTGGCCTCCTGCAGCAGGTGGCGGGCTCCTGCCTCCTTGCCAGGGCCCTTCCTGCTCCCTCACTTGCTTGCCGACTTCTCTTCTCCCAGAATAGCCCAAGCACTTCATCCTCTAGGAAGCCCTCACTGCCACCACCCCCTCTCCATTGCCGTGTGAGCACACAAGCCGCTTGGCTACAGATGGACAGCTGGTTCTTGTACCTGTCTCCTGGGGTATAGGAGTGACAGTATCTTGCTAGGGTCTAAGTCCATCAGTGACACTACTGAGTGTTGTAGGCAGATATACCACATTACAAGTGACAAATCATTTTCCAGCAAAATAAATTTACACTTCCAGCAGCAATAGATGAGATTCCTTAACTTTTACCTCTTCATCAAAAGCTTGAAATTCTCAGACTTCTTTTTTTTCCTGAGACGGAGTCTCACTCTTGCCCAGGCTGGAGTGCAGTGGCGCAGTCTCGGCTCACTGCAACCTCTGCCTCCAGGGTTCAAGCGATTCTCTGCCTCAGCCTCCCAAGTAGCTGGGATTATAGGCTCCCACCATCACGCCCAGCTAATTTTTTGTGTTTTTAGTAGAGACGGGGTTTCACCATGTTGGCCAGGCTGGTCTTGAACTCCTGACCTCAGGCAGTTCTGCCCATCATGGCCTTCCAAAGTGCTGGGAATACAGGCATGAGCCACCGCACCCGGCCCCAATTCTCAGACTTTTTAATTTACTAACCAGTCAAAAGGGTGTAAGATGTTATCTTATTGGGGTCTTATTTGCATTTCCTATTACTAATAAGGTTGAAAATCTGTGTTTATTCACCGTTTGAGTTTCTTCTGTATTCCATCCATATATTTTTATTGGCTAAAAGTTTTTGATTATATAATAATTGATACATACAATACAGTATGTCTAGGTATACAATATGAAGTGTAACAACAAATGTCCCTCCCCCACTCTCCACCCAACTCAGCACCAGAATGGTTTCAATGTTATCACAGCGTTACCGATGTATAGTTTTTTTAAAAAAATACTCTAATTGATAACCCCTTTTAGGGCAGCTGTGTTGCAAACACCTTTTCACAGTGGGTGCCTTGCTTTTTTCTTCAGGGACAGAACTACTTAATGTAAGGAAATGCCACAATGTTTTATTTTTCTTTCCTTTTCCTCTTTTTCTTTTTCTTTCTTTCTTTTTTTTTTTTTTTTTTTTTTTTTTTGAGACAGAGTCTCACACTGTTGCCGTGGCTGGAGTGCAATGGCACTGTCCCAGCTCACTGCAACCTGCTCAACATCAAACTATCCTTCTGCCTCAGCCTCCCAAGTAGCTGGCACTACAGGCGCGTGCCACCACGCCTGGCTAATTTTTGTTTGTTTGTTTTTGAGACAGAGTCTCACTCTTGTTGTCCAGGATGGAGTGCAATGGCGTGATCTCGGCTCACTGCAACCTCCACCTCTCGGGTTCAAGCGATTCTCTGCCTCAGCCTCCTAAGTAGCTAGGGTTACAGGGATGCGCCACTTTGCCGGGCTAATTTTGTATTTTTAGTAGAGACCGAGTTTTTCCATGTTGGTCAGGCTGATCTCAAACTCCTGACCTCAGGTGATCCACCCGCCTTGGCCTCCCAAAGTGCTGGGATTACAGGCGTGAGCAACCGCGCCAGGCCAATTTTTGTATTTTTTGTAGAGATTAGGTTCCACCACATCACCCAGGCTGGTCTCAAACTCCTGGACTCAAGTGGTCCACCCACCTCAGCCTCCCAGAGTGTTGGGATTACCTGTGTGAACCACCAAGCCCGGCCTCACAATGTTTTGTTTTCTCATTGGCTTGGCTGGTTTCGTTTGATGTTAGATCTAACAACACGTTTGCCCATTTGTTTACGCACCTGTTCTTTCTTCTCAGATGTTCCTTCTGAAAGCATTTCTCTTCTCTTCTTCCTGAAGTTATTTTTAGAAGTTCTTTAAGGGCAGCCTGTTAATGGTCAACTCAATTTTTACCAAAAGTGCCTTTCTTTCACCCACCATTTTTGAAAGTCTGTGTAGCTGAGTGTGGAAGTGTTAAGTGGGAAATTATCATCTCTCCCATTCTGCAGTCTCTGCCTTCCATCGCTGCTGTTGAGAAGCTTCCTGTCCATCTGCATGGTTCCTGCTTTGGAGTAATGTGTCTTAACTCTCTGGCTGTTTTTCAGATTTCTTACCTTTGATATATTGCTGTTTTAATATATTCTGTCCAAGTGCAGATTTCATTTTATTTATCCTACCAGGAATACATTGCAGTTTTGTTTGTGGATTCTTTGATTCATTCTGAAAACCACTCCCACCCATTATTTCTTCAAATACGCATCTTTCATTCTCCATATTCTCTTCTTCTGAGGCAAGTGGACCCGTCTTTTGAGCTTCCTTGTCTCCATCTTCTTGTTTCTCTGCATGGTGTTCTGCATAATTTAAGAGTTCTCCAGGAGGCTGAGGCAGGAGAATTGCCTGAACCCAGGAGGGGAGGTTGCAGTGAGCCAAGACCGCGCCATTGCACTCAAGCCTGGGTAACAAGAGCAAAACTCCGTCTCAAAAAAAAAAAAAAAAAAAAAAGTTATCTTCCAGTTTTCCGATTTTTTCATTAACTTTTTAAAGATGCTTTTGGTTTTGCGACCTTTGATTAGGAGCTAATATTTGCTTACTCTTAATCTGAAAACCAACAAAAGAGTGAGCATAAATCTAGAGTGCTCTCCTTCAGAGAAGATTTGCATTTGCTGCTCTTGGTAACCAGAGGATCATACCAGGTTGGGGCCATTTTTAGCTCAGCTTGATTCAGGAATCTCAGGTTGGGCCCCCCCCGCCTGCCCGAGACACTGTGTATCCACCCAGAGCAGGCCTGCCTTTGGAGCTGACTTACTCCCTTTGATGTATTTTCAGGGTTCACTTTCTCATGTGCAGACACACTCACACCCTGGTTTCCATTAACCACGGCAACTTCAGCAATGCTGCAGAATTCTGTTTTGTGAAAGATCTAGTTCTTCTCCTGCAAGAAGATTTTCAGAGGGTATGGTCTGTCATACAGCCAGAAGTAGAAGCATCTGCAGGGTTTTTTACTAGCCATCTTCACACTGTCCTGCTTGCTTCTCTCTCCCTTACTCCCCGCCCCCAAACTTCTCCTCCTCCCCACCTCTTCACTTTCAGACTGTCTCCACGTACCTCACTTAAGTCTTTTCACTGTTGTGCAGAGCAGTTCATCCTCTTCAGCCTTTATCTTCGACTCACTTGGGGCCTACATTTAAGCCAATCAGCAGAAGCAAAGGCAGGTACCAGGTGCTGTCCTGTAATGGAATCCTCCCTGCTCAGAAGGCAGTTGTGATTGTCAATAGCAGTTTTTCCTCCGTTTGGTGATGCCAGGCACCTGACGCTGTCTGGGTCCCTGTAGAGATTGTTGTTCATGTAAGTTCATGCCGTTAGTGTTATGTTTCTTACGTGTGAATCATGTAGCTCTCAGTAAGCAATATATAATATGACCAAGAGCATGAGAATCTTTACTTATCACAGTGTATTGAAGTATGGAAACGATTGAGCTAAGGAAATGCATTTGTTGTTTCATGTTAATGGTTGTTTTTAGCTATCTTCCCTACTAGTGAATCATCTGCAATATACTTTGAAATTGGTACTTAGCCTTTTTTTTTTTTTTTTTTTTTTTTTTTTAAAGATGGGGTTTCACCATGTTGGTCAGGCTGGTCTTGAACTCCCGACCTCAAGTGATCTGCCCGCCTTGGCCTCCAAAGTGTTTGGATTACAGGCATGAGCCACCACGCCCAGCAATACTTAGCTTTTTCCACACTTATTTCTTCGGCAGCAGAAATTAGAATGAATAATGTGCGTGCATTTCTCAACGTCCATACAAATACAATGCAGAAAAAAACTCCTTTTTTGCAAATATTGTCACTCTTATTCAGGTAACCTGATAGGGTCATATTTTCTTTTATCTTGTATCTTTAAAGGAAAGCAGTAAGTGCAGCTCTAATTTCATTCACTTGGTAAGCATTGATTTGTGGCCTACTTTGTGGGAGGCACTGGTGTAGGCTCTGGAGTACAGAGGAGAGCAAAGCAAAGTCCCTTACGCTGCACACAGGTCCTAGTGGGAGGCACACACTCAGCCATGGGCCCAGAAGACCTACAAAGCAGCAACAAGGCTAAGCCAAGCAGAGGGAGGGAGGGAGGCATTCCAGGCAGGTGGGACAAGCACATGGGCTCACAGGTGGCTTATACTCGGAATACTTAAAGACAATACTTTAGCATGAGACTAAACCTTTCTTTGTCTACATTTCTATTTTCCAGGCATCCGAGATGTTTCTAAATGGAGTGAGAGAACAAGAAAGCCTCTAGAAGCCCTCTATGGGTATGACTACTTTGCCAGAACCTGTGAAAAGTGGGTGGATGGCATAAGCCAGTTTAAACATCTCCCAGATGGTAGGTTACTGGGCTTCAAGGATTCTCTGCCTGTTGTAGAGGGTGCTCGAGTTCCTCCCTGGTGTTCAGAATTGCTCAGTGATTCATGAATCCCTCCCATCATCGCACACGCTCATGTGTGAACAGAGAATACTAGTTCTTGTATACCGTGCCAGTTCTTGTGCAATCAGTCTGCCTTAATGTAGAGATAGGACTGCGTGTCCAAAGGTTCACATTGTTGAGTCTTTAATAGCAGACTGTCCTTTTTTCCTTCTAATCCTTGGTGTGTGTGTGATGACAAAATAATTATCCAAAAGCCTTGAACAGTTTCTATTTTCTAATTCCAGAATGAGTAATTAGAAAATAAATAGGCCACAATATGGACAATGTTTTTTCCTTTTTACATATTTAGATGTGTCACCCCACAAGGACATTGTTATCTTCAACCTCAATGGAATTAATATGAGGAAGAAAATATTCAGGATTTTTTCCTATCTTCAGAACTAAGTTATATGACCTTAACTATGAACAAATGTCTCCTATTCCTTATCTGAAAAATTAACAAGATTTCCTGTTAAAGTAAGGATTGATTGACATCTTTAAGAGAAATTCTGAACTGTAGTTTATTTTTATGCAGCTATTGATGTTTATAATCTCATTTTTCCTTTTTTTAATTGCTGAGAAAATAGAGTAGCTAAGATCTAATCTTGTAGTGCATTGTTACAAAATGGTTGTGATTGAAGGACCAATTTGATCTATTAGGTAATCGTTTCCTGCATGAGTCATCTGCCAAAACTTTCACAATGAAAAAGACGTTTGGAAATGTTACTCTTCTGGTTTGAGTTGAAAACAGCAAATATATGTTTTACAATGTTCCTGTTCAGATGCAGTATCTGCCCATAGAAACAGGCCCTGGAAATCTCTGCTCTTAAAATTTTTAAAACGCTCTTGTTACCCAGGCTGGAGTGCAATGGCGCGATCTCGGCTCACCGCAACCTCCGCCTCCCGGGTTCAGGCAATTCTCCTGCCTCAGCCTCCTGAGTAGCTGGGATTACAGGCACGCGCCACCATGCCCAGCTAACTTTTTGTATTTTTAGTAGAGATGGGGTTTCACCATGTTGACCAGGATGGTCTCGGTCTCTTGACCTCATGATCCACCCACCTCAGCCTCCCAAAGTGCTGGGATTACAGGCTTGAGCAACCACGCCCGGCCAGGAGCCCTTTTTACTTAGCTGTCTTCTCAGGTTTATGGATGTTTAGGATAGCATAGGGATTCATTGTACAGCGCTGGAGTCCGATGGGCCTGAGTGTGAATTCTGGCCGTGCCCCTGGGTTGCTGTTAGAATGGATCTGGCCAGGTAATGCAGCTTCTTGAAGCTTTAGTTTCCTGTCTGGGACCTCGAAAAGCTGTTGTAGGGGTTAAATGAGATATTATCTGTTCAGTTTCGGCGCAGGATCAGACAGTAAGTGCCTAATGAAAGGTTAGTATTACTATTATTATAAAAGAACTTAATGGAAAAACATTTTCATATGCTGAATGAGTTAAAACATGTAACTACTGTGTTTAACAGATATGAAATTGTTTAAACACTTCCTGACACAAAGTGAGCTCTCAGGAACATTGGCTTTCATCATCACATGATGATGAATTGGCAGGGGTGTGTCATCTCGGGACAGGCGAGGGAAGCGTCATGACTCCCCCCTGAGGAAGAGGGAAAGGCCTGGCGCCTGTGCAGGGCAGGGCAGGGCGCACCACACTGTGGGGGCATCTCCCAACCTTCTCAGAGCTACAGTGTTTTCCTCTGGACACACACAGATAAGAAAGGGAGAAGGAAAGAGCTAGCTTAGGGATGCCAGGAACCTTAGCTACAACTCTCTTTTTAGCCCCACAACAGCCAAGGGAACCGTGATTGTTCCTGTTTGAGGCTAACGCTCCCAGTGGTTAAGGAGCCACCACAGTCTTGCAGAGGCAGGAAACTGCAGTATGGGAACTAGAGGGACTAGAGGAAAGCTGTTGTAAATGGAAGTCAGTCCTTACAGGCTCTCCAAAGTTTGTTAGTCAGGAGTCTCATAGAGGCGCCAGCGATCAGGAGAAGCTGCTTTCCCATGTGTAAGTTGTATAATAAGTTCATCGTGAGGTTCATATGCTTTGAGGGCTGGCCGGGGCCCCCATGCTCATCAGAAATGTGATCTCCAGGGAAAAGCTCTACAGGTGTCAAGCACCCACCACCGTTTTCACGTTGGGAACCACCACTATAGAATATCGTGGGGGGGGGGATGTTTATTTGATTTTCCTACTATTTTATGTGAATTTACATCAGGCTGTTTGTTTGCTAGTAGAACTCAGAAACAGGCAAACAAACAAGAAAGTGAGAAACAGAAAAGGAACCCCAAAGAAAGAGCTGAAAGAAACCCAAGCATGGTCAAATCCAAACCACGGTTTTCACAGATAGGGAAACTGAGAGCTAAAGAGGGCCAGGGCTCGCCACGTTTCCCTTCCTCTGACCGTGCAGAATGGTTGCTCTAAAGCAGATTTCTTGTGCTGTGTGTCCTTCAGGTAACATCTGCCGGCACCTGCTGCCCCAGGTCCAGTGCCCCACCTTGATTGTGCATGGTGAGAAGGATCCTCTGGTCCCGAGGTTTCATGCTGACTTCATTCATGAGCACGTGAAAGGCTCACGGTAAGCCCAGTCACCACCTTCACACTCCCACCCCAGAGCCTCGGAGTCAGTGAGCGAAGCTACTGGAAGGAAAAGAGGCAAGAGGAGTTGGAGTTTTTAGAGTACACACCACTACTTTTTGCCAGTGACAGTCAGTAGCACTGCTTTATTTAGGGGTACCAGGGAGGATGGAACCCCTGAACTGTGGGTAACTGATAGCCAGAAGGAAAGGCACATTCAGATAGATGGCTCTTACTTTTATGAGTGGCAGATATGCTCATAGGTGCTCAGCCCTGTCACTTGGTGATAGTTTAGGTTTATTGCCATCAATATTAACTGGAACAGTTTTACACAATTTGCGAATTTTCAGTTTAGTTTCTTATCATTATAAAAGCGCTGACCACCCAATTTTTAAAAATCTGTTAAACCAAAAAAAGAAAATAAATTGCCATGGCTTGCTGGCCATTTAAACACTATCATTATCAGCATTTTTATACACAGACATAATCATATTCTATATTCAACTCTGAATCCTGCTTTTTTCCCTGCTTAATATTGTAAACTTTTCACTCATAAGCTATTTTAGCCTTAAAGATGGACACATTGTAATGAGAAGCCTATTATTTATTCAGAATTACAAAATACCAACATATTCCAAGCCATGCGGGTGGCTCTCTTGATTAAGGAGCAGCTACAAATCCCTTGTTCTTTTCATCCAGATTTCCACCAGCCAGCCTTGGACATCAGAGAACCTTACAAGATATGTCCATTGAAATTCTGTTACTCAATCCCATCAATTTTTTTTATGAAATAGAAATTTCTATTTTAAATAATTCGGCTGACAGAGGAGCTAACTTTTTTGGCATTTTTATCAAAACAGACATGCCAACTTGAATAAATTCATTGTCTCCTTTACATAAAGGGATGCATATCCTGGAGGTGAAAATCAGGGTTAACTGGGAGAGTAGGGGTCTGTTTGTTTGTTTGTTTGTTTGTTTGTTTGTTTGTTTGAGACAGAGACTTACTCTGTCACCCAGGCTGGAGTTCAGTGGCTTGATCTTGGCTCACTGCAACCTCCACCTCCTGGGTTCAAGCGATTCTCCTATTTTAGCCTCCCGAGTAGCTGGGATTACAGGTATGTGCCACCATGCCCAGCTAATTTTTATATTTTTAGCAGAGACTGGGTTTCACCGTGTTGGCCAGGCTGGTCTCAAACTCCTGACATCAGGTGATCCACCAACTTGTCCTCCCAAAGTGCTGGGTTTACAGATGTGGACCGGTAATTTGGTTTTTTAGATAGATATATTAGAAAATAAGTATCCAAGTCTGGGTGTGGTGGCTCAGACTTATAATCCCAGAACTTTGGGAGGCTGAGTCAGTGGATCACCTGAGGTCAAGAGCCTGGCCAACATGGTGAAACCCTGTCTCTACTAAAAATATAAAAACTAGCCAGGTGTTGTGGTGGGTGCTTGTAATCCTAGCTACTCTAGAGGCTGAGGCAGGAGAATCACTTGAGCCTGGGAGGCGGAGGTTGTAGTAAGCCAAGATCACGGCACTGCACTAACAGCCTGGGTGACAGAGTGTGACTCTGTCTCAAACAAAAAAAACAAAAAATAAATGTCTAAATAAGCCTTGACCCCTTCAGAGCATATATATTAATTTCATATGCCTCTGAATTACTCAGGACGTCTTTGAAATTTTATGGGATTTTTTTTGAAATTGGATTTATTAGCAACCTTAGAAAATCCTTCCCTCCCTCCAGAAGCCAATTTCTGATACCTGCTGACACCAGCACTGCTCAGCATGGTTAATGGTAGTGTTCCCTGTCCCTAAAGCCCCCAGGCCAGCGGAGAAAGCAGGCACAGAAACAGCTCCACTGCTTCGTTATCGCTCTGCTCTATGATATATTTAACAACAGATTTCTCAGAGAATTTTTAAATGGGGGAAAAAATGTTTCTTTTCTATAATAAAATACAATTACCATAAACCTTTATAATCCTATATCCATAATGGATAAAATACAATTACCATAAACCTTTATAATCCTATATCCTTAGTGGATAATGCTATATTCATTTAGCATTTTTTTTAAGTTAAAAGGCATCTCTTATTCCACACATTTCCTCCTATACCAGTTCAACCATGAATCAGAAATATATATTGGCCTGTATAACAAATAATTCATTTGGTGAGAACATAGTGTCAGTGAAGAGCAGAGGTAGGAGTTAGGTAGGATTATATTGTGGGTGGATGGAAAGGTTTAATGGAGGAGTTTTTAAGTTGATTTAGTAGGGGCTGGGTGCCGTGGCTTACGCCTATAATCCCAGCACTTTGGGAGGCTGAGGTGGGCGGATCACTTGAGGTCAGGAGTTCGAGACCAGCCTGGCCAACATGACAAAACCCCATCTCTACTAAAAATACAAAAATTCGCCGGGTATGGTGGCAGGTGCCTGTAATCCCAGCTACTGGCGAAGCGAAGTCAGGAGAATTGCTTAAATCCAGGATGCAGAGGTTGCAGTAAGCCAAGATCACGCCGCCACTGCACTCCATCCTGGGTGACAGAGCGAGAATCTGTCTCAGAAAAGAAAAAGAGAGAGAGAGAGAGAGAGAGAGAGAGAGAGAGAGAGAGAGAGAGAGAGAGAAGGGAGGGAGGGAGGAAGGAAAGGAAGGAAGGAAGGAAGGAAGGAAGGAATGAACGAAAAATTGATTTAGTAGGCAATAGTAGGTATTTTCAAACTAGACTTGTAAAATTATAATACTAAGTTATGGTCATGGTACAAAATTCAAATAGTATACTTTCTTATTAATCCTTGCAAAAGATTTATACTATCTTTTTTTGTGTGTTTTTAATTGTATATGTTTACAGTATACAAAGTGATTATATAGCACTTACTATTTTAAAAGGTATTTTATATACAATATCTTAATTATAGTTTATGACAAACATGAAAAATATCCATTTTACAGATGAGAAATCACAGCTGAGAGATGTTAAGCCATCTTTCAAGGTTGCGTAGCTAGTAAATAACAAATCTTAGATTTGCTTTTCTCCTAATATGGTGCTTTTCCACCATAGTACAGCTGCCACTTATGTCTTAATATGTATGATGGTAACATGCCTAGAATAAGATACCAGGTGACCTGGTTAATTGTCTTCCAGCTTCAGAAATGACAGGTTTTTGCACGGTGACACACATAGTAAATGCAGTGTGTGTGCTTAAAGAGCCAGGTTCAGTTAAAGTCAGTCTGCAGGAAAGTTTAATTTAGGAATTCTGTTCCAGGCCCATCTCCTAGCAACAGAGTACATCAGTATAGGAGAAAAACACCCTTAATGTGCAGATATGAATGGTTTTAGTAGACTGTTTTGTGGAAGATCACTTTCTTAGAGCAATATTCTTTGGAAGAACTAGGTTGAGTATAAGTGTTATTAGCAATGCCTGTCCAAAAATGGCTTGTATTTTCTACTTATTACCTTCCTCTGCTGTAAGAGCCTTTTATGTTGGGCATGAGCCTACCTAGAATGTGGTTGGTTTATTCTGGTCCCCACAAAAGGAAGGCAGATTCCTTGAGTACCAAAACCCAACTGTGTTGTGTGCACCAGGCCATCTGACAGCAGGGAAGCAACTCGGTGTAGCAAGCTTCCAGTGAACTGGATATTTCATTCACTACCTTGCTGGGTACTTTCGTGTTTTTGAGATAGGGTCTCACCCTGTCACCCAGGCTGGGGTGCAGTGGCAGGATCATAGCTCACTGTAGCCTCAAATTCCTAGGTTCAAACCACCCTCCCCCCTCCCAAAGTCCTGGGATTACACGTATAAGGCACGATGCCTGGCTGCCAGGTACACTTTTAATTAAGCTTGAAGGAACAGACTGGCTCATGCCTATAATCCAAGCGCTTTGGAAGGCCGAGGTGGGCAGATCACCTGAGGTCAGGAGTTGGAGACCAGCCTGGCCAACATGGTGAAACCGCGTCTCTACTAGAAGCACAAAAATTAGCCAGACGTGGTGGTGGGCACCTGTAGTCCCAGCTACTCAAGAGGCTGAGGCAGGAGAATCACTTGAACCTGGGAGGCAGAGGTCGCAGTGAGCCGAGATCACACCACCGCACTGCAGCCTGGGCAACAGGAGTGAACTGTCTCAAAAACAAAACAAAACAAACAAAACACTTAAAGGCGCAGACTTTCCCTTCCCAGATTTTTACCAGGATGTTCAGATTATGTGTAAAGCCAACACCACACTGCCTTTCATGCCTCGGAAGGAGGCGGACAAAGGGTGGAGCTGCTCACCAGGTCTGCTTCCAGCTTATGTTAATTTGCCTCTTTCTGTCTTCTCTGTTTGTAGTAGAAGAAAAATAAGAATCTCTTGGAAGCAAAGAGGCTTCTGAGATCATTCAAGCTCAGTGGTTTTAAAGTGTGTTTTTAGTCAGTTGAAGCTTTTCTTCTAACAAACTCTTTTTTTTTTTTTTTTTTGAGACGGAGTTTCATTCTTGTTACCCAGGCTGGAGTGCAATGGCACGATCTCGGCTCACCGCAACCTCCAGCTCCTGGGTTCAGGCAATTCTCCTGCCTCAGCCTCCTGAGTAGCTGGGATTACAGGCACGCACCACCATGCCCAGCTAATTTTTTGTATTTTTAGTAGAGACGGGGTTTCAACATGTTGACAGGATGGTCGCGATCTCTTGACGGTGTGATCCACCCGCCTCGGCCTCCCAAAGTGCTGGGATTACAAGCTTGAGCCACCGCGCCCAGCCCTCTAACAAACTCTTATGCAGAAGTCTAAGAAAACACAAAATGAGAGCTGCTCAGACGACAACTGTGATGGGGTGCTGGCTTTGCCTTTCTGCCTCCCGTGTCCAAATTTCCTCATAGAAGGATGGCAGTCTTAATGGATTCAGACCTACTCACATGACTTCATTTCAAAGTAATTACCTCTTTAAACACTCTGTCCAAAGGAGGTCCCACTCTGAGATGCTGGGGGTCAGGATCTAAGCATATCAATATGAGGGGTACAATTCAGCGCAT